CCCCCCCCACGGATTAGTGGTGAGAGCAAACGTACACCGGCCACAGCTGTGTTGGTGGTGGCCCATACAGCGCCCCCCCCCCACGGATTAGTGGTGAGAGCAAACGTACACCGGCCACAGCTGTGTTGGTGATGGCCTATACAGCCCCCGTCCCACCACACCCCCTCAAACAAATGTTCTTTCTTTTCTTCTTGTTTTTAACACTACCATCCTGTACAATTGATTAGCCAGTCCAATCTTCACTGCAAGTCAACAACAACAACTGAACAAGGACATTTTAGAATGAAAAGTGTAAGCAAAATATTTATTAGGTTTGAGTAGGAAAAATATCTCATGCATATCATGGCTGCCAGAGAAGTGGTCCCCTGAACAATCAAATACATTGCTGCCATCAAGGACTGGTTGCATACCGGCAGTGGTGCTCAACATTTCATCACTGGGGTGGGTGTCCAGTATCTCAAGATCAACTGATGCCGTGTCTCTAATAACCAGAGAGACGCCTGGAGCCCGGCGAGGTGGTCAATATGATTTGACAGCAACAAACATTATACAAATCAGTACTCATGTTAACTGAAATGGAGTATGGTACTTGATGTGTTTCAAAACACAACATTTAAACATTTACAATGGAAAGTTCCTTAATTATAAGTTGAGAGCTATAACTGTTACAAAATAAGTTTAGACGGACTTACTACTGTCAACAAATAAGTAGAGAACTACTACAGTCCCGAAATAAGTTGAGACTTACTACTGTCACAAAATATGTTGAAAACTATTACAGTCATTGTTTGAATAATTACTGTCTAATACATAATATGTATTATATATTGTATCATAATATAGGAAATAAGTTAAGAACTACTACTGTCATGAAATAAATTAAGAACTACTTCAAACATTAAAAAACAATTGCATTAAAATAGGTATTCAACGTAATGTTACAATGTAGACTAATGCCTTTACAAAATTGCACACAGCAAAATCGTTTGGCTTACATTTCCTGAGATATTTTTCTCTTTCTTATGGTATTTTACTTATAAAACAAATTAAAACCTATTTATGTATGTTTCTTTTTATAAATATGGACATGTGTCATAAACATGACTGTGTAAACTGCATTTCCCGACAGTGAACTGAACCAGAATAAGAACTGACAGAATCAGAATAGCCTTAAAATTGATGCTTCAAATAAATAATGTAATGGCAATAAAATGTCAACCCCTCTTCATTTGGATCAAATCCTGAAATCATTTTTTTTTTTTTACAATTTTTGTAGGGCAAGTTCAGCTGACCATGCAGTTACAAAAATGCCAAACACCAACAAGAGACTTGGATCTCCTGACAACAGCAAACATGCACAGATGCCTCACAGCATGCACATCTGCATTGTTAAACACCTCTCCTCACCTCTTGCTCTGACTATTTGTTCAGGGAAAAAACCCATGGCTCTGGGCCCACTAAGTGCCAAACATCATTTTAAAAAAAACACATCAGTTACCAAACACCAGGACAGATCAGTTTATGGTGTTACCAAACACCAGGATAGATCAGTTTATGGTGTTACCAAACACCAGGACAGATCAGTTTATGGTGTTACCAAACACCAGGATAGATAAGTTTTTAAGTGTTCCAATCTGAGAAATCTTGTAGAGCTTTAGTAAGTCGACACCCTGGACCGACCTATTGGAGGACATCAGTTGCTTTTTGTCATCACATTTAATTGTGAGATTGTTTGTAATTGTTTTTCATTGGGTTATCTGAGGTCTTAGAACCAGACACATTTCGAATTCTATGGCACTTTTTAAGTTTCATTGTCCAGATATTTCAGAATAGATCCAGTGACGAAGGACTCATTTATTTTGTCGTGCTACAAGTTCACCCAGACAAGTAAAGGCTGACGAGTGACAAATGCTAATTTAATGACGGTGGTCTTTAAATATCTTACACAAATGTATTGAATTGAGCTCCGCTTCACCGTCCATCAGTTGTTTTTTTTTTATGTAGGCTGGAAGTATGAATGCCATTCCATCAGACACTTTGTGCTGTGGTCAGTGGTACAACCAGTCTCATAGAATTCAAGGTCTCACTTTGCAAGTTCAAGAAAAACAAAGCAAGCAAGATGAAAACAAAAAAAAACCACCTCTAAATACCTCCGAACCAACATCATGTAAAAACAAAAAAAACTGACCTGTCTGTCAATTTGCCAACCTTGCAGCAGAACTGAATTGTTTTCTCTCTTGCAATACAATATTGACAACACCACCATCTAGCTCAACAGATCTCCTACAGGAAGTAGTGAGCCCGGTGGGAGGGGTCAGTTTGTGGGGGACATCAAGGTCCCTCTCTTGCATCACAGGAGTTTGATAGGTTCTGGTTTTGTTTTTGGAACATTTTTTTTGTTTGTTTCCTCAAATCAACAACAAAAAAATCTCCAACCGGCTAAGAGTGAGCCGGAAAGTAGGCTGATGCTAAAGGAGGCTGTTGGCGAGGTATAATCAGCTGCTGACTCAACCGAACACTGCCCACGTCCATGTGACGGCCACCGTTAAACGTGGACACCGGCGGCGCCGATGTTTGAGTTGGCTGCCCAGCCGAGGTTGCTGCGGATGGGTTTTGTGGTGATGTGTTGGAAGATAAAGGTAGAGATGATAGGATGTTTGCCCTGCTGTTTTGATTAAGTATCCCCCGTACAGGAATCGCCTCATCACGTTTACTCAGAAATTTCGGATCCAGTGGTGGATTTCTGTGGAGAATCAATATTAAGTAAATTAAATTTGCAATAAATATTGACTTTACTCATGAATCTATGATCTTGAACCAAAACTACATCGGATTAAGTGATTAAAAAAAGATTATGACTTTTATAGCATTAACAAATATATATGGTTGGATAAATCTAGTCAGTTATATGACATTGTGGAAGTGCAATATCTTTAAGATAGTCATAAAAGGATCATCTTTATTATGTTAACATTTTTATATAGCATCCTTCCGTCTTCACACGACGATGGAGTAGCTACGGACACTCCATCAATTGGCTTACGAGGCCAATCCTGGAATAGCAGTCTCGGCTGAATTTCTTGAAGGAGAAGTTTGACTCCTGGTTAAATTTGGTCTTCCGTAATGTTCATTTTGTTGCATGGGCTTCGTTTAAGGCGTAGTCTGCCTTTTTTTACTCCTTCACACACTACTGTTGGCCAGCTGGAACGTTGCTCAGTGATAATCTCCCCTTCATTGACTTCTATTTCGGCTTCCCTTTGTTAACATTTAGAGTGACATAATTTATTTACAGGGAGAGGTAAAATTGAAAAAGTCACAAGTATCCAGACGCTGTTAAGGTAACCTTGTCTCCTGATCTGGTAGAGAGCCAGAAATACAGCCCCAAAAGCAGACTTGGTGGAGGTTTACTTTTGAATTAGTATCTGACGGTGAGGCCAAGAAAAGGCTCAACGTTTGCGACCAGTTGAAAATAGAACTTTTCCTTCAGACAATCTTTGCCTCAACGCAAATAATCTTTTTAAAAAGTGCTACTGCATTTTTTTATGTTGGCTGTGGGCTTAACTTCAAACTAAAACAAAACTAAAACTATGACCAACTGAGACATAAGTTTCTCTTGTTTTAATTGTCTTTATCTCATAGACCTTTCCTCCCACAGTTTTCTATGAGTCAATTCAACTGTGGTAAACTCTTCATTTTCTTCTTTTTTTTTTTATTTGAACTGTGCCAAATCAATTGATCATATTTTGCAACAAATATTCTGCCTGTTGGCAAAGTAAATTATAGTTTTTTTAAAAGCTCAGATTAAAGAATATTTAAATCTGTTCCAGGAAACAGTTTTGAAACCATCAAATTTTTTTTATCGTGCTGGAAATAAACTTACTTGTCTTTGTCTCCCCCACTAGAATTCATATTCTCCTGCTGGTTAGGAGGTGTGGCTACACCATTTTTTCTTGTGAGGACTGGGACAGGAATACTAGACATCAGAGTTTTAACATTCGTTTGACCAGACTGGTAGTCCATCTAGGAATATTCAGGTCAAGCAATGGGAAGAAAAAGCTTGGACCATTAAAATAAAATAACCCTTTTCATACACAGAAGAAAACTTCAAATTCAACCATTCCACGACAAAATTAAAAATTCTGAATGATGAAACTGATTAAAGGGAAGCAATCAGCAATAAAGGGAAGTAAGGCATCACATACTTTGCAAATTTAGTGGTTTCTTTTAATAACAATTTAAATATAACAAATTTGTAAAGTCTGTCATAAAAAACAATGGCATCTGTAGATTTATTGCATTAAATAAATAGATCATATATCACTAAAAATACCTGAGGATTACGGCTAGCCAGAGGTACAGAGACTGGTTGTCTCTGCATGGCCTGAAATCTTAAACTGTCCTGGGACATGGCAGACCCATGGCTGGATGTACTGTAGTTGTGCTGAAATATAAAATGTTGCATCACATTTAAGAAAACCTCGATATAATTGCAATTTGTGGCAGTCACTTTTCTCCATTTGATTTAGACAAGTTGTTGGTGATGACTGTGTAATGTAATGTTGCAATAAAAAATAACAGAATATTTGTTGAACAGATTAAAAGCTAGGCAGAATAGGATAAAGCAGCCTTACTAAATGCATCACAAAATGGATAGCATTTTGTTGTCTGGACATGTTGAATTATAATGATAGCAATTTAAAAAAACAAAAACAATGACGGGTACTTTGCTCAATGCACCAACTCCAATAAATGTAGTGAGCCCAGTGTAATTTTGTCACATTTATTTATTAACAGTATTTTCTAATCATTTGCAGCAGAATTTTAAAAAGTCTTCGAATCAAAAAACATAATTCTCTATTTAAAAACTTCACTAATTTTAAACCCTACCAGATGGCGCTGATTTCAAGAAACTTTAGTATATGGGAAGGTCAAGCTATAGTTAGTTATACATAGTGTTGAATAGATCAATAACTTACAATTGGCATTGCTGGTCTGGCATGAGCTGTGGTGGGCAGCTCAAAGTGACCAAGATGGTTCTGATTAACCTTCTGTTCATTAATTTGTTTGTTCAACCATTGAATCACTGCAATAAAATGAATGTAAAAGAGACACTTAAATGAAAGCTACTAGGGTAATGTCTCAGTATTTATAAAAAGACTCCCACAATTTCTGTAACACATACGGCAACATAAAATAAAGAAAACCAAAATACAACTGTAATTCATTTAGAAGATATGAGCATCTAATGAAAGACAAACATTTTGACAGTCACCTTTTATTTTTTTTTAATTAAAAATAATTTATATTATTTATATATGATTTTAACTTTTTTGATGCAAAACTATAACCAGGTGTACAATAACCCCTCTACAGAACCCTCCACTCTTATTTCTGCTTCCCTTCACCCCCCCCCCCCCCAATCAAAATAACACTAGCAACACCTTTTTATCTACAATAAAAATCTCTGCTGCCCCTTCCCCCTTCTCAACACCTGTGTCCCAATTTCAAGGAATAATTCTGGTTGTGGGTCGCCACAACTCAAAAAAAATTGTTATAAAGGGGTTGCGGCACTAAAAATGCTGAGAACCGCTGATTTAGGATTATATTATTACGCTATTAGTGTTTTGAAACCTGCAGCTTTGGTGTCTTCATAACTAATACTGGTTCTATGCATGCATATTTCCCTTTTACCAATTGAGTAAAACACAATATAAGAAATGAGAAGAAAACTCATTTTTTTTTGTAACACCTAAACCGGGACTCAGACCCACCGGGTATTATCTCAAAATACCCGGACAGGGAGTAAAAAACTGCACCCGCTCAGCCCTAGGTGAGCCCCATGCTCCCAACAAATCCTATATATATATATGATCACTGTCTGTTGTTTTTGTCAGTTGTTTTCTTGTTCACACCCAAGAGGGGAACATGGTAGACCATGTATTCCACATTCATCTCACACAGTAACAGATATCTATGCCTACATTTAGAAAAGTAAATAATAAATTTCTGCTTACTGTTCTCATTGGTTTTCAACAACTTTCTGCTTTCTTCTAACTTCTCTTTGGCACTCTCTAAGTCTGTGCTCAGTTTCTGATTCTAAATTATAGAAAAAGAGAAAAAAATAATAAATACATAATTTTATAAACTATTAATGACGTATGATAAATTTCTATATTTCATTAAACTTGTTTCTAATTTTGAACAAAAAATGGTGATATTGCAATGTCATATGATGTGATTGTAAGGACCTTATTTTATGAATAAAATACATTTTTCATTAAAAAAATCTTTTTTAAATACCAATAAATACGTAATGGATATCTTTATATATTTTACCTAACCAAAATGATTATGCTTACTTTATCTTCTGTGTCTCTTAATTTGTCTTTTGTTGCAGCTAAGTCCTGGCGAAGTTTCTCCAGTTCAATGTTTTTCTCACCCAAGAGTTTTTCCTGTTCTGTTGCTATTTGAGTACGTAGTTTCACCTGTATCAAAGTATCAATACAGTAACTTAGTTAGAAAAGATGATATGCAAATATTATTGCGTAAACTTAATTTTAAATTATATTATAGGACTGTTCCATGCAAATATCTGAATAATTAAAAACCTTAACATTATTAATACAATTTTATTTTAGATTAAGCTCTATTATCTTCTAACAGTCATTGTATTATGTCGCATTGATTTCCCATAACTTTCTTGTTATTACCTTTCCATGGTAAGTTTTGATATCACCTTGCAGCTTCTTGATGATTTCATTGCCCTTTTTCAATTCCTCTCCCATGGCCTTAACTTTGGTCTCTAATTTATTGATCTCTCTGTGTCTGGCCTCCAATTCTGTTTCAAGGTGTTTCTGTGAAATTAACAAGCTTGATCATTTCATGTCTGCATTTATGCAATGCAGAAGAAACTGTGCCATTATGTAAGTTAATGACCAAAAATCCACTGATTACTTTACCACTGTTTAAGCTCTACACAGTGAAAGTGTTTCTTATCTCTGACATTGTAGATTGGTTAACCAGGAGCTTTTAAAAAGTTCATATTTGAATATTTAACATTTTCTTTTATGACAAATTGCTTCACAAATCAAATAGTTTAGAAATGATTACTTGCCCTTATTTTTTAAAGTTAAAAATTTTAAAAACCAGAGAGTCAGAGAAAGATTTTCCCAAAAAATAATTAATTTCCTTCTAGGAATTAATTTTAAACAATTTTCTGAAATCCTTAAAGCCACAATAGGAATAAGAACTGACTATCATCACTAAATGAAATCAAATATATATTATTTCAAATTTTCATTACAACTACCTTTTTGTCCTTTTCTGAACTGAACAAGTCATTTGATTTATCCAACAGCTCTGCTTTGTCTTTGAGCTCTTGTTCTAGAACAGCCACCCTGGTTTGCAGTGCATTGTTGGACTTGTCTCTCTCTTGCCTCAAACTCTCCAGAGAAATGTTTTCTTTGCGTAGTGTGTGAAGTTCAGCTTTCATGCGGCTGTGATCCTCTTCCAAAGTTGCAAGCCTGGACTTGTAATCTCTTATTGTTGCTTCGGATTTATATTTCTTGTCTGTCAGATCCTGGATGAAAATTGAAACAATTTAAGCATTTGTTGTAAGTTAAAATTTTAAAATTTAAATAAGCATTTCCAAGGCTATTATTTAAATTCTGCATGTGAAGGAATACAATCTGAACAGTTTCAATCAACTTCTACTGTTTTATCTTTTCAATCAAGATTTTGAACAAATGAAAGACTTTATGTAAAAAAAGATTTAATTCCGTATTTTTAACCAACCTTGTTTAATGTTTCATTTTCTTCAAGTCGAGTTTCCAGCTGTTTGACGAGTTTCATGTGTGTTTGTTCCAGCTCTCTGCGTTCTCTATCAAATCTTACTTGGAGGCTTGACTGAAACTAGGAATAAATCCAAAGCTCAAATACCATCAGGTGTTGTGGATCATGAAATTTCAATATGCACGTGGAAGAGTTTTAAAACTTATGATTATTTTTTTATTATGATATAAACATATGGATATGCTTCAACGACTTGACACACAAAAATTCATTAAAACATGTTTTTAAAAATTTTCAATGTACACAATCAATTATTTTTGTGTCCATGTAATTTTCATAAAAAATTACTTTATTACACCCCGACATTTTTATTCTAGAATTGCTTAGTGAAAATTTTTTTAGCTAAATTTTTTTAGAAATAAAAGAACAATATACCAAGTAACTTTTGGCTATCATACATTTAAAAAATATATATGATATAATTATTGTTTCTAAAAATAATACAACTTGAGGAATTACCTGTACAGTTTTTTCTTTTTCAAGAGCCATATCCTCTTTGTGTTTAGATGTGATATCTGCAATACGAGACGACCATTCTAATTTCAGTGACTCCAATTCAGATGACTTGGAAGCCAAGAGCTAAAAGAAATAAAAATTTACTATTGTACTGTGTATTCTACACTTATTGTCCTGAAATGAGAAACATCTTTGTTCAGCCCTAACAACAACTCTTCTATGTCAATATTAAGCTACAACTCATATAGTTTTATCTTAAACGCCAAATCATTTTAAATTTAAGCCTATCTTCTTTTTGAAAGATCATCTTTGTCTGGCTTCAACAAAAGTTCAACTATCTTAAACTATACAAATCAATATTAGTAACTAATTCATTTAAGGTATCTTTAAAAATGTATGGCAAAATGTAAAGGAATATAGAAATCATCTTTCACATATATATTTCTTGGTTGGTTCTGATTATGCTATATATAGTATTTAATTCTATAATATTGCAAATAAAAATTAATGTACGGTACAAAAAAAAAGGTATGCTTTTCATTTCTGCATTAAAGGTCAGCATAATATTTCTGCTATAAAATTTCACTGGCCTATATGAGAAAAAAAAGCTTGAAACACACTGCATTACTGGTACGTTTTTTCATATTGAAATTAATTCTAAAACATTTTTTTCAAACCCAAAATCTTTCCATTTTAATCCCAATACAATATCATAGCAGGCAAGATTTTTAAAAAATTAACAATTGTCTATTCACCTCTTGGGTAGACTGCAACTTGCTACTTAACTCTTGTGATGTGTGCTCAAATTTATGTTGAATTAAATTGTTGGTTTCCTAAATAGAATACATAAGGAGAAATGGATTTTTATTATTATAGCTAAATGTCAGACATTCTAGAGGTCTGTCAATTGCAATAGATAGAGGTTAAAAATAAATTTTTAAATATATGTATAAATTACCGGTAACCAAAAATATTAAGCATCAAAAAGTAATCTCTTTTTATTTTTTTATTTTAATATTTGTATTTATAAAAGCAAGTCAATATGTTTTAATAGTCATCTTCCATATAACTTAATAAAAATCAAAATTTATATCTAACACTTATTCTCCAAATATCATTGATTTACAAAAAGAATAATTGTGAAATAAGATTTTTTTTTTAAACATACCTTCAACTGTTTCAAGCAGCTAGCAAGATGTGCTTTGATATCTGCATCAGAGCCAGGTAAAAATTTAAGAGACAGGTGGTTAAGATGTCTAAATGGATTGGTCTCAACAATATTCATTGTGCATGGTGCATCACCACCTAACATAGAGCTTCCTCCAGAAACAAAATGTATAATGAATCTGAAAGAATAATAAGAAAGATATCCACATTTTCAATTTAAATATATTTTTAAGAAGATCAGAGTTTTTTACAAATAGGAGGTAATACTCAGCAAAATATAAATTATTTTACGACGTTTAACTCTTGACTAGCCGCACATGTGCCAATCGACAATATACCGCCGATATAATTTGTGTAGTTTATTTCGTTGCCTATGGCTATCAATCCTACTTATTATGTTCTCACATGAACGATAATTTTCCTACTTCCTGTTAGAAGTAGGGTTTGTTTATTTTTTACATTTGTTTTTCCAATAATTTTGACTTTTTTTTCGATTTCTCTTTAAACTGTTGTAAACAAAACCATCAGCTCTTGCTAGACCATGTATGTAATCCAGTTAGCAAACAAAAGAGCTTTTATTGCGATTTATGCTGAAACATCGGACAATAACCATGAATCGTTTGAATCTGATTCCAGTGATGATTTTCAGCTTTCTGATTGTCAGTTAATGCCAAATAGAAATAGAGGAGGTGATGGTAATAGTGGTATAAAAATACTACAGCTTTATAGAGCCTAGAGAATGGATTGCAAAAACACAGAGATCAACTTTCTAGCTCAAGTGGTTCAAAAGTTATGAAGTTTTTAGTAAGGACCTCAAAACCACTTTTTTTACTATGGCGACAGTGAGGATTCAGATAATAATACTCCTGTTCCTGCAAAGAGAAGTTGGAAATTAGGCAGAAAAGATGCAGGAAGAATAGTTTCTAAAGCCCAGAAACCTGAACCACCCATTCCCCTATTGCCCACCCTATCAAAGCCAGAGGAAAAGCCCATCAACAGTGCAGACAAGCGTTTCAGTGAAAATAAGCACTATGACGGGCATGATTGACAGCGTCCACACTGTTCAGCTCACAAAATAACCAAACTCGGCTGCTATGTGTGCTTCGGATGCACAGGAAGGCCTCATTTGGGTGTTAAGGAGTGCTCCAGAAAGGACCACACAGAAAAAAATTTGTACCGTACTAAAGTAAAATATTTTGTAAATAATGTGTTAACATTTATTGTATATATCAACCTATGCAAAGAAACTGTTTTCTTTTGTTGACATTAACGTTACAAAAGTGTGTGTAGCTCTATCAATAAGTGGAATATTTTGTAAATGTAAAATGCATTCTGAACAAAAATGGATTTACTTTCTGGATATTAACCAGAATAGGATTCCAGCTACACAGACCATTTAGTAGTCTGATAAATTTTGATCTCATATTACCACCAATAAAATTTAACTATTATTGTCTTATTGTTTTATCTTTTACATTCTTTTCTGTCTAATTTCCTTTAATTTGATATGAAATACAGCACTCTTGATAAAAAAAAAATGTATTCAAAATTCATTAATAGATAAGAGCACCCTAAAATATTTCCATCGGCCAAAAAGTGGTCTGACACAAACGTGGAAAACCCCATGGCACGGAAAGAGTTAAATCCTTTGCAGACCTGGTTACCCTGTAACTTCCAAAATAATACAATATCGTTTCAGAATTATGTGTAGATTATTTCTAATGTGCGATTATGACAAGAATGAAAATAATTGCTAATTGAATTTAGAAATAAGTTCTTTTGTGATACATCCACTGGGCCACATTTAAAGTGGCCACACCAGCCTTAAGCCTAGGAGGCTAATTTTATTTTCTAACTTATTATAGTGTAATAAATATTCTTGCTGTATTTGGGAGAAGGGAAGAATAGTGCTTGAACCAAACTGGGGTATTAAAATTGTACAGCTGCTAAGTGACTTCTAAAAATTGATATTTCAAATGCTGCTTACTAGATGCTGCTCACTTGATCTTATAAATATAAATATGTCAAATCTAACGCTGCCGTGTAAAGCAATTAAGAACGCATTAATAAAAAGGAAAAAATATGCAGTTTTCTCAATTTTTCGCAATTTTGGTTCAGCCAAACTTACATCACACAGCACAGAAGCAAACAAAAGCAAATGTTGACTAAATTTGTCATTAGGGTGACTAAGCTAAATATTATTGTTACCATATCTAGAGAGTTCATTGTAAAAACAAAAACAATCATTGCATTGCTTTTAAAAGTATTTAGACACCTATACCTTACTCCCTCTTATGCACAGTACTTAATCCATTCACCGCCGAATGTAGAAAGGAGCTAAAACTAACAATCAAAAAGTGTATTTTGTTCTTTTTTTGAAATGTTAAAAACTTCCTTCTTTTTTAGCCATTCTCAATCCCAATAGAGTATAGGCCATCCACAATACTTTTCCATCTGCCCCTGTTCTGGGCTATCCTTGCTAGTTCAGCCCAGCTTTTCTCCATTCTCTTCACCTCTGTCTCTACTCCCCTCTTCCATGTGGCTCTTAGTCCTCTTTTCCTCATACCTTGAGGATTCCAGTTCAGGGCCTGTCTTGTGATGTTAGTGTTTGGTATCCTTAATGAATAATGTGTGCCCTATCCATCTCCATTTTCTCATTTTATCTCCGTTTCCACGGAACAATTGATGTTCTCTCCCAAAGAACAGTGTTATAAATTTTGTCAAACCATCTTATTTTGAGGATCCTTCACAAGCACCTGTTTTTAAAAACGTGCAGTTTTTTTATGTTTGTTTTTGTTGTTCTCCAAGTTTCACAGCCATACAGAAGAAGTGCCTTGAAATTTGATTTGAATATTTTTAACTTTGTTTTTGTCAGTATTTCATTTGAATTCCAGGTGTTTCGCAGGGCATTGAATGCTCCTCTGGCCTTTTGGACCCTAGACTTTATGTCCTCATCTGTGCCACCATTTTTATTTATGATGCTTCCCAGGTATGTAAAGGTTTCAACTTCTTCAAGGTGACTCCTCTCAGGTTAATCCCAATGACTCCATCATCCACTGCTTTTATTCTTAAGGTCTTGGTTTTCCCTCTATTTACGCTAACTCCAGTTTGCTGCGATACAGAGTCAAGTTTTGTTGTTTTCTCCTGCATTTTTTGTGGCTATGTGATAAAAGCGCAATGTCATCTGCAAAATCCAAATCCTCCAACTGTCTGAAAGGTGTCCACTGGATTCCATTTTTCCCACCCCATGTTGTTTCTCTCATGATCCAGTCAATGGATAACAGAAAGAGGAATGGTGAGAGCAGGCATCCCTGTCGAACTTCAGATTCTATCATAAATGGGTTTGTGAGTTCACCTTCATGTATAACCCTGCAACTCATATCCTTGTATGTCTTCTTATTGAGGTAGTTAGCAGTTGGGAAATACCATAATGTCTTAGTAGTTTCCAGAGTGTATCTCTGTCTAAGCTGTCAAATGCTTTTTCAAAGTCAACAAAATTTAGGTACAATGATGCATTCGACTCCAAGCACTGTTCCATGATTATGCACAGGGTTGCAATTTGGTCAGTACATGATCTGTTTTCTCTAAAACCAGCCTGTTCGTCTCTTAGTTTGCAGTCTATCGCATTTTTTTCTCTGCAGAATAATTCTATTTAGTATTTTTCCTGGTACAGAAGCATGATGATAACTCTATAGTTTCCACACTCTTGGAGATCTCGTTTCTTTGGAAGTTTGACAAAGTATCCTCCTCTCCACTCCATGGGTATCTCCTCTTTATCCCAGACAGTCACAATTAACTTGTGAAGTATGCTTGATGACAGTTCCAGGTCTATCTTTAGTACTTCTGTAGATATTCAAACAGGGCGAGCAGCCTTTCTATTTTTCAGTCGTTTGATCCCTTTTTTAATTTCTGTTCTGTTGGGTACATTGCAGCCAATGAGTAGATCTTCTTCTGCAGGTAGAATTTCAGGTGGTTCTTGTGGGGCTGGCCTGTTTAGTAGTTCTTTGAAATATTCCAGCCATATTTTCTTTTGTTCATTTAGTCAGCCTCTTTGTTGCATTGTACAGATCCCTTAGGTTACCTTTTGATGCAGCCTCTTCTGTCTCCTTGGCGATGTCCTCAATAAATCTAATTTTAAAAACTACCAGAATACATTTGTTCAAACCAGTCTCTTAAAATCATAGTTCTGACAGGTCTCTGCCGAACAGCGTAAAAAGCATTTCAAATTTCGTACATCTTAAGCCAAAATAGTAAGAGTAACCAGGTCTGTCATTTGCGGACAGATGAAATAATTCAAATTTCTTAAAAGATGACTGGTTTTATTTCCAAACCATATATTAAAAAAAAATTTAAGTGAAAAGTAGATAGATGTAAAAGGTACATGATTTAGCTATGGCGTGATTTAATTTTTTCAACAACTTTATGTGCAAAGTTTGAAAATTACTTAGGATTTTCCTTGTGGCTCTCTTTAATGCACATCTCCAGAAGATCCACAAATTTTTGAGGAAAAGCTACAAAGTCAACCAGTAAGCCCTGTTGCATTTTTAAACTGCAGATAAAATATGGAAAATATATTGATACCGATAGTCTTATTTACGATAATAAAAAAAATAAAAATCAGTTTCTTCTAAAATCTATCAATTATTTCTGGATTTCAAATTCAATTATTTCCAAAAAAAGCATTTTTTGTAAGGTTGAAATTGAAATAGAAAGTGTGAGAAGCAAAACTGCAAAATGAAATTCTTTTATAAAATATTTTATATGCATAATTAAATAATAAAATGCTTTAATATTTAATACTGCTTTTAACAAATTAATATAAGATATTACAGCTTTGATTTTTTTTTTTATATCTTAAAATTAGATAAAACCTCTGAAAATCCTCCTCAGCCAAACGCAGTGTGTACAAGAAAAATAAATCTTGATCATCTGTCAGCTTCACAACTAATTCCTAAGAATAAGTTAAAAAAAAATATGCATAACAAGAAGATATTTTCAAATAATTAATTGAAAAGCTATATACATTCCACAACACACAAACCCACCCCCCAAAAAAATGCAGCTATGAATACTTCTTCTTCAAAATCTTAGTGAAATTGTAAAGTTTTACAAAGTTTATTTTTTTTCTTGTCATTAGAAAAGGGTTAAATTCTAACAAACAACCACAACCTATTAGCAGTGGTTCCCAAACTGTGCAGCGTGTGGCCCTGTGGGAGCAGCAGCTTTTTTCGAATGGGTGCTGCAAAATATTATACACTATGACTTTATAATTTTAGTTTCAACTCAATATGATGGGATGCTACGGCATGAAGCAGACCTGGTGCAAAACAATCGCACACTAAGTGATAACTGTTTATACAAAAGGTTACTGGATGCCGCTTTGTGATCATAAATATTATTTTCTAAAACTTTTTTACAAAACTCATTAATTTTAAAAAAATGTTAGCCATTTTGCAAACCTGGATTCAGCAAGAGCATCAAGAATAAAAAAAAGTTTGGGAACCACTGCCTTATACTACCATAATTAATTAAAATTTGTAAGAATATAAATAATTTGTTACTTTCTGTTACCTTTTTTGAGTCATGCTTATTGCATTGCATCTTCATATGAAGCTGTACATAAACTTTCCTGTTTTACATAAGTAAATGAAGATTATTTTTAAACACAATGAGATGGATATTTTTCATTTGTAACTAAACCTGTTAATAAGTTGTTTTTTCTTGGCTTTCCCTCGGGGGGGGGGGGGGGGGGGGGGGGGGATAAAGTCTAGGTGGCTGAGGTCAGGTAGATGACCAATCAGCTTAAGGGCAGATTCAATGTAGTTCCCTTGTTAATTAAATGTGGTTTCAACATCAACGACTTAGCAGATGAACATACTAGTTTTTTAAGTCAAACCTATTCATTCAGAACCAATGAGCCTAATGAGTTAAACTTTACTTCTTAAACTTAAAGATTATGTTTGACAAAATTTAATGATATCAGAGATTCTCCCTCATCTATAGTGTTTTAGTTATGACCAAAGATTTTACAAAATAGTTAATATAGACAAAAATTAAATGGACAGTATAAATTTGAGTATTATAAGCAGGGCTTTGGAGCAGCAAATTTTAAATATAAAAAATGATAAGGAAACAATTATCATATTTATCGGCGTATAACACGCACCGGCATATAACAGGCCCTGCGGTATGTACTATGTGGTATGTACTATGGGTCCTTAACATTATATTGGCGTATAATACGCACAAATCATTTGCCGCCCTATTTTCAGAGAGAAAAAGTGTGTGTTATACGCCGATAAATACGGAATGTATATTATTCGACAGAAACTAGGGCACAACAAGACCAAGACCAAGACGACCAAGCAGGCTATATATAGATACACCAGAGCAAGCAGGACGCTGCAGGCAAACCCTCCCTTCCCTTGCCACCCTTGCTTGCCAGCCAGCTCGCGGCATATGCTAAGCGCGGCGTCTGCTAAGCCGTGAGGCAGCGTGAAGTAGAAAGTTTGCAGGGTGAGGGGGGGGGAAGGGGTGTAGCAACATTGGCATTCTTAAATTTGCGTAACTTGAGTGCACGTTTTTGTCAAGTAACTTTAGTAGATGGGAAGTTCACGCATTGCTGTCGCCAATGTTTGGCAGGCTACATCTAGTTATAAATATTTTAATGAAATGCTCTGGGCTTTTTAAAACTTATTAATTAAAAAATTTATTTGCAAAATGTTTTGGCAAATTGATATATTTTTACGGTATTTCTTTCCTAAATTCAATGTTGGTCATATGCCATATTTTTCCCTAAATGTCTTTTCCTCATTGACCTCATTCTTCTGAACCATTCCAAACACCCCTTCCTTTCTGATTCCTACCTCTCTCCAACCCTGCCCTATTAACCTGCATCATTTACCTTTGACCCCTTATGTATTTGTTTAATTTCATCACATTCATTTCTACTCTCCCATGACTCATTCCCTTAACCTGTAGTGAAGTGTCCCATTATCCAATACACTGTTCATAATACCCCTCTTGGCTCCTTTCTCTCATACCATCTACACATTACCCTCTAAGAATCTTAGTCTAAAGCTAGGCCTTTTTCTCATTGCCTATGTCCAAGTCCCATGCAAGAACTTTAAAATTGCTTGCTCCAAATCCCTGATTACAAGTGTATATTCTCACCTTTCCTCTCTGTCTGATGCCTTGAACAGTAAGGGAACATGCTTGCTGAATATGTCCTCCATAATTATTATTTCTTTAAGTTTAAGTCAGTTTAAACTACTTAAAGACAAATTACCAATATAGGATTTGTCCTAAATTGGCTAAAAAGCCATAATAGTGGCATTATCATTTTTATCACAATGCTTCACATAATATATGAAGAATCAAAGGCTGCCAACTCTTCCAGGCACTTCACTCCAAACAGACAATAGGCCTACCAACTAATTTATTATTTTTGACCTTTCATTAAAATTAAAGTTGCTAGAACTACTAGACATTGAATAGTTCGATTTAGAAATGATCAACTAACACCAACAGTAACTGCCCAAACACTTAACTATTACTAGTACTCAGACTTCTAGTACTGCTAATTCAATTGGGCCAAACTTAAAATTTCACACTCTAAGTTTTGATTTCAATGTCAATGTTCAGACTTCCATTTGCAGAGTGGTGCAATGATTATGATTGATTCACTTACTGACTGCCTTACTGAGTTACTCACTCACTTACTGACTTATCACTCAGACTACTACTGACTAAGACTAAGTGATACTTAGTCGACTTAGGACTTAGTGATAATGATACTACTAGTGATACTCAAGATGATACATTGATACCAACACTGACAGTTTCACTGTATAGTATAATAATTAATATTAATAGTCTAATAGTGTATCAATCACACCGACACCGCCGGTGAGTTTAGAATGACTGAGTGTATGAGTCTGAACCTAATAATTTTATCGAAATAAGTTTAATAAGAGGGACAGTGACAAATTAAACTTTAGGCATAAATACATGACACAGTTTGTATATTTTAATTAGTTCTTTTATATGTGAAAGTATATTGCAGGAACTATGGAAACGTTTTTTATTATCTAAATCTAGGAATTTATGTTTTGAGATACCCGCTTCCGGCACATCAACAAAAATATTTGTCCAGTTATTTTAATGAAATAATAAATTTTGACAATGTTAATAAAGGAGTGTGTCATGTGTTGTATAACTTAGAAAAATAAATAAAATTTTATATTTAATTTTGAACTTCACATTTTAAACCTCTGTGAACATTTTTGTTAAAGATTTTAAAGCTGTTCACAAACCCGAAAGTAGTGATTAGTGAGTAGGTTTTAACTTTTAATTATTAACATTTGGGAATTATGTTTTTTAAAGATTTTTTTTTTAACGGAACTAAATATACAAACAACAAGTCATTTAAGTATAAGAATAAGAAGAGCCTACTAATTGCCCTTATTCTTATAAGTTATATATGGAAAATATAAAGACAAGTTCAGATGCAACAGTCCTAATATTGAAATTGCACTTTGAACCCCCTTCGTCTTCCTTTCAATCAATCCACTGGTGCCGTTATTATCAAACTCGACAGAAATTGAAATAAGCTAATAATATTATTAAAAATAATAATTCTAAGTCTAAGAAGTATTACATGAATTTCGAATAATTGTACAAAATTTAAGACAATATTATAATTATAACTAAACTCTAAAAGTTTTGGTAGGTACCTGTAACCAAGGAAGGGGTACTTTTTAGTTTTTATTTATTAAATTTAAACAAATTGCCTGTACCGTGTACTTTTTATATTAATATGGATTTTTGAATCATCAAATGAAAATGTATTTAAAATTTAATTTATCAATCTTCTGATTCTTATTAAACTTATTACTGTTATTAATATTTTATTATTACTATTACTTATTGTATCAATATTAATTATTATTAATTAAGCAGACTATTTTGTAACTAAGACTAAGATGTGGATGTCCAAGTAATCATTATTTATTATTATTTTTTAAATATTTTTCTATCATAATTCATAATCATTGATTAAAATTATATATATATATAATTATTGATTATCAGTCATAATGATAATGTCAATGTTATCAATCATAATATTAATATGTTCCATAACTTAAATTTAACTATTAAACTATTAATTATAAAAATTAATTATCAATAAGGATATATTTTATATAGATTATATATAAATATAGCATAGGCTCATAAGTTATTATACTTAATAAGTTTATTATTAGAATAGAACAACTCGGTAAACACTTTTTTTTTTATACTTCACATTCACAGTCATAGTAACTTGTCAATAACTGTTAATTATCATTGGTTTTATACTAATGTCTTTATACCCTGAACCAGCAGTTAACAGACATATCCCTGTGGCTCTACAGGCCACGTAGGGCCTTGGCCTGCCTCATGATTTCCTTTCAGTCAGACCTAACTGATGCTTTTCTTTGTATACATGGATTCCCAGCTGCTGTAGATCTTTTTCACATCCATCCATTTGATCTGAGTTCTGCCTTTGAGCCATTTTCCTCAGCCTTTTGGTGGTGCACCCTCTTCACACCTCTGTCATTTGGAATTCTTTTTAATTTTCCCGCCTAGCGTAGCCTGCCCTTTTTTTTATTTCTGCTACTAGTGTGGGATCCTAATATAGTCCATACAATTCCTGGTTGGTTAGTATTCTCCATCCATATTCATCCTTTGTTGGTCCATATATTTTCTGGAGAACTTGTCTCTCCCATGTGTTTAATTGGCTTTCTGCTGTTTTTGTTAGGGTCCAAGTTTCCCTTGCATTTTTTACATCTGTTCCGATTACCTAAATTACAGTTTAATAAATAGTTTTCTTAATTTTTCTTGTAATGTTTTTAATTTTGAACATTTTGTGACTACTGAAGTATGCCCTCTTTTTCTGGCAGATATTCTTTCTTTTATTACTGTTGGTAATTCATTTCTTTCATTTATTAACGATCCTAGGTATTTGAATTGATTTACTTTTTCAAAAGTGTGGTTTCTAATTTTAATGGTTTCATTGGTCTGTTCTTCTCTTAACATTGTCATGTATTTTTTTTTTTTTTTTTTGGTTTTTAACTTCCAGCCATGCTTGTATTGTTGCATCTTTTAATTCATTAAAAGCCTTTTATAGGCCTTACTACTTTTCCCTAACTGTGCTATTTCAAGAAACGATCCTAGGTATTTGAATTGATTTACTTTTTCAAAAGTGTGGTTTCTAATTTTAATGGTTTCATTGGTCTGTTCTTCTCTTAACATTGTCATGTATTTTTTTTTTTTTTTTTTGGTTGTTAACTTCCAGCCATGCTTGTAGTGATGCATCTTCTAATTCAATAAAAGCCTTTGATAGGCCTTACTACTTTTCCCTAACAGTGCTATTTCAAGATACTCTAGGGATTGGTTGTAGCAAGTGCCTACTGGTAGTGGGTCTTGGGTTTACCTCAGAAAGTAGCCTGTTATTGTTCCTAGGGTGTCAATATGGATGCTTCTTATAACTCTCTATAATGTTTGGTTAAATGGCATACAAGACAGTAAGTCTCTGTTAATGATCTGTTTGTTTTTTGTGAGTGCTTGTTTGGTGCTGAGAGTATTTGTTTAGATTTCCATATGTGCTTTGTATTTTGTGACATATTTGGGTATGAGAAATGATGTTGTCTAATGTTATGTTTTAGCAGCAGTAATGGGGTGGTAGTAATGGAGTTGTAAAGTGACAGAAGATGCTGTTTATTTAGTAACGAGACATTTGTTATATTGATCAATGGTTTGTTAAATAATTAAATCACCCCTAGACAACAAAGCTATTGAACTGTTAATCCAGTTTGTAACAGTCTCCTTGTCTTAGGCCTCATCTAATCTGAAATTCCCTTGAGTATTCTCCCAGAACCTTGATTTTGCTTTTTCAGTTGTTCATGTCAGTTTGTTGGATATGCCAACTCCTGCAGAGTCTCATATAGATATTTTCTTTTTATGGTGTCCCATTTTATAGGCCACATAGAGTTGATATACTGGGATAGTATATTCATAACATTTCTCTAATAGGCATCTGATGGTGAAAATTTGATCAGTCGTTGATTTTGTCTGAATCCACATTGATAATCACCTAGTATCTGTTCAGTGTACGTTTGTAGTCTTTTCGCAGTTAGTTTTGTCAGTATTTTATATGTAAAATTTAATAGGGAAATTCTTCTGAAGCTTGTGCATTTAAGTTTAGAACTTTTCTTGTGTTTTGGGGTTAGTAGTGCTGTTTCCCATGCTGTTGGAATGGTTTATGTGTCTGAGTGTTTAGCTCTCTTCCTATTTGATACATTCTTCTGTGATGGGGTCTTCTCCAGGGGCTTTGTGGTTTTTCATGGAATGGATTACTTCAGTAGTCTTTTTTCCAAAGTTGGAGAGTTTATGAAGGGGTCTAGTTCTCCATGTTGTGTTAATAATCTTTATCTTTTCCATTATCTCAAATTAGTATTCCCTCAAAATATTCAGCCCACCTCTCCAGTACATAACTATTTTCCATAATTAATTCTCCATCATTGCTCTCACACATTTGAGGTCTGGCTTGGTAACCATTCTTTTCGTCTTTTATCTTCATGTGCATTCCTCAGATATTTCCCTCTCTTGATAAGTCTTTATTTCTTTTAGTTTAACATTTTCCCGTTCCCTTTTTATCGTCCTACACATTTTTGTGGCTTTCCTTCTAGCCCCATTGTATATTTGTCTCACAGACACATATAATATATAAAATTATGTGCTTCTGTCTTTGGGCCGAAGTTTGGTACAAGTGAAATTTTTTTAAATTTAAAAATCATTTCTACAGTGCTTATTAAGTAAATTACTGTGTTTAAGCTGTTTCTAATCCATTGCCTTTTTTCTTTCTAGATTTCATCAAACATGATTCCACCTTACACAATGAAAGAGGTTGTAACATTTGTGTATGGTCATCCAAGAACAGCACCTGTGCTTCTGTCTTTACTAGGATGTTTTGCCGTACAGAAATTAATATACACTTTATGGAAAAAAAAGAGCGTGAGAAATAAAAGAAGTTTAAGAAGGGCAAAAGCAGAAAAACGGAGAACAATAATTGAAGGTCGTTTGGCTAAGGTACTACTAGTATTATATTTTAAATAAGTTTCTTTCAATTTCTGGCTATGGTTTTTTAAGTTCAATTTATAGAAGAGAAAATAAGTTATTTACCTTGATTCAATAAATACTTCTTTAAAAAAAAAATTACTTTAATCCATGCACTTTAAAAAAGGCCCTTTCCAGATTCTAGACTTCATCTGTTGCAGTTCAACCAAATTTATTGTTAATTTTTGGTTTTAAATGAATACACTAGTTTTAATAAGCCATTACAAGATATTATGATAGTAACAATATTACTTTTCCTCTTTAGCACTTGTTTTAATTCTAAGTTACATGGTACATATACTAGTGGAATGACTAATCTTGCTGCAGACCATTTGAAGAGGGCTCATAAACAAATAAGCACTGGTCTACTGATACACTAAAAGCAAATAGAAATATAAATAATATATTGTTTTAATATACTTAGTATAAATTGATCTTTATTCACATTTCACATTCCCACTTCAGGTTTCACCACCTTCTGAAGAAATACTAAACAAATCAGCCTCAGAGCTTGTAGAAGCCCTTCACTCTGGTGATCTATCGGCAGTTGAAGTGTTGTATGCTTATCAAAGAAGGGTGGGTCATTGTTATTAAATTATGAATTAAATAAATCTAAAAATACTTTAAAAGCATATAATTAACTAAGTTAAAAAGGTAATTTTATTGATCCAAATAAATGGAAGTGTGTTTTTTTATTCATTACACTTATTTTTTTCAATCTTGAAAATCCTTGTTGAGTTTTTTGTTGTTCTTTAAAATTAGACTGTAGCAAGACTTTGGTTGAATAATTGTGCGGTATGAATAATTGTTGACGTCTTGACCGTGAGTTGTAATTTTGAACAGAGTCTTGGCTTTTTGTTTGAACTTAGTTCTCATTTTCTTTTTTCCAAGATAATAGACACTATTTATTTCTGTAGCTGAATTGTCTTTGGGTGGTTTCCATATGCCAGAAAATATATTTTTTTTTCCAAAATGGTGAATATGAATAAGTTTTAGTTCATGCCAATGATGTCCAAAAAATCCATATAACCACTGTTCCTCACAATAAACAACACAAGTTTATCAATTAAAACCAAATCAAGCACATTCAACACGCCTTGATTCCAAGGAAAACTTTTTAAAAACCTCCAAACTATTAAAAAAGCTGAAAAATTAAATCAAGTTACCTACATAGCGGTGCACAAGAGCAGTTTTTTTAGAAACCATTTATCACTTATGATCTTAGCAAAATTTCTTTTAAAAAAAAAGTAAAAAAAGTTAATTTGAAAAAAGATTATTCTAGGTTAATAAAAATTAAAAGTTAACACTAGAATAAAATTATATTTGTTGCATTCTGATAAAACATTAAATTTACATGTATGCCTTGCCTTTTAAATGTATTTTATCCTTTTGTAAGCTGTTCTGGATTTACTATTTCCATTTGGTAACCATTTCTAAACTTTTGCTGTCTTTCCTACCAGGCATTAAGTCTCACAAAAGAAATCAATTGTATTACTGAATTCATCCCAGAAGCAGAGGTAAATTTACCAAATCTTTTATTGTCATTCTTGTTTACAACTTTTCTCCATAACATATTAATTTTTTACAGTTAAATCAGATGATAATGAATAACATATTTTTTCAAGGCACAAGCAAAGAGATTAGATGAATGCCCAACCAAAACTGGTCTGCTCCATGGCATGCCCATAAGTTTGAAAGAGAATATTGCAGTCTCTGTAAGTTTATTCATACTGTTCTTTAAATAAAGTATTGACACATTCATTTTTCTGCAACATGTTTGTCCTGATGGATATTGCTACTCTATTAAATATTTCTCCATGCCAAAAAAACAATGTTTCCCAAAATTGTTATGGCCACCTCACTGCTTTTAATTTTTGCAGCTATTCTCTGCCGAACCTAGGCAATATATTACCAGATAGCATACCCTTTTTGGGGGAAACGCAACCCTTCAGTGACAAGGGAGACAATTGTGGGACCCTTGAATTTTTTTTTTTTTTTTTTTTTTAAGTACTAAAGGTATTGCTACATTAACGAGATAATCAGAGTAATTCTCCATTGAACTTTGATTTTAGTTTAAAAAAACTATGGGTTTTACTAGATGTCATCAAGATTCAAAACAAAAACGTTTTTGATATTTATAAGACAGTAATAAAATAACAGTCATGATCAATGGTGTTCATTTTCATGAACTACTATCAGTTGTCTTTTATAATCCAAATATTTCATTTAATTTATTTATTTTATTTTGCCATATAGATATTCTTCTATAACTGACATTCATTCCATGCAAAAATTTATTTTCTTCCAGGGCTATGATACTACAGCTGGCATGGAAATAAACATTGATAAAAATGCCACTGATGACTGTGTTGCTGTAAAGGTAAGCTAACAATCCAACTACTTAATTTGACCATCTAAAGGCGCTTAAATGATGATCTATTTTATAATTTTTTTGTGCTCTGGTTATCAATTTTTGTGTGACTTATTGCCCCGCTTTAAATCATTTTAAAAAAGTCTCAAAATCTTATCATAAAGCAAATGAACTGCAGACGAAAAAAAAAAAAAAGACAAAAATGTTGTAAGTGTACAGAGAAATTTAAAATATAATAATTAAAATATTTTTTAACTGAACATACACCTCAAAGGTTATTGCTATAATTAACAGTGCAGCACCATTTTAAAAAAAATAGGATTTGTTCTTAAATTCTCATCGTATTACATTATTTTAAAAATTAACAGAATCCCCACTGCCATTTCCTGGATGTTTGTGTTTCAAACTATAAATATATATTCTACTCAAGACGAAAAAAATTTATAGCAAAAATTAATGCTACTTAAAATATATTTAGGTATTAAAACTACATGGGGCCATTCCCTTTGCCAGAACAAATATTCCGCAAACAATGTTAAGGTATGTGCTTAAGATTTTCCTTCTCTTTAGCTCTCATTAATTTTCAATTGTTACTCTATATGGTTAAATGTATAATGCAACTATCACACCTTTAAAACCATCAGTTGGATAGGAATAGGCTTTAATGTGTTGGACTAAAAATTTATCTAAAGCAATAATATTCATAAATGCGAAGAGATAAATAATCTATATCTTATCTTCGATAACACAACAAGGTATATTAATGGGAAAGGTTGAGTTTTGTACTATGGAAAAGGTTGAGTTTTGTACCCAGAAATGTTTGCAATGCCATTTTCCTTTCACACAATTGCCAATGAAATACTGGAACAACTGTTTCAGTTTTCCCTTAAAGAAACACTCTTTCTTTTGATTGGGTTTGCTTGGTATGTATGAAAGCTTATGGTGCTCAAGTGTAGCAGCAAGATGGAAGTGGTAGTAGCAGTGCATCTGCATTGCAAGATCCTCACAAGCTCCTAAATTCCTCTACACTTTCTTCTATGTGTATAAAATAACTAAATACTGAACTCAAACAGTTCACCAGCAATCTACACAAAATTTGTAATTATTAAGTGAATAAAAATTAAAAGGTGTATTGTTATGTGACAGTGTTCAAAGTCCAAGATTTTGAGAGCTGACTGTATATAACAATTTAATGAAGCTGGAACAATAAATATATTTTTTTTCTGTTTAGTTACTGCTGTGAAAACCCTATCTATGGTGAAACATTAAACCCTCAAGACAAGACGCGATGTCCTGGGGGTTCATCAGGAGGAGAGGGAGCCATCATTGGAGGAGGGGGTTCCATGATGGGCATTGGTACTGACATTGGTGGCAGTGCAAGGATCCCAGCTGAATTTTGTGGCATTTTTTCCTTGAAAACAACTAGGGGGCGCATTAGGTCAGCTAGTAACTTATTAATTAGTGTTAATTTTTCACGTTTTAAGTAAAAAATTGTTTAATGAATAGCCAATAGTATCATTAAAAATTTAAAGATGTGTATTTAAATTTAAGACATCATTAAATTGCATTCTTAGTCATATACAATGTTACATAACAATAATGTGCGGTATATAGAAAAAAAATTAGATTATAAAACAACACAAATGATTTCTATCTATCTTTACTTTTTGATAAGCAAATTTTTACTTTTATATCCTCAAAGCCAAATTTCTTGTAAGAATTTTATTGCATTTCTTTAAACATTATAATGTAATTTCATTTTAAAATGTAGTTTTATTTTAAAATTACCATCTCCAACAGCTCAAAAAATTACTACACCCCAGTAAGAGGCAATTTAGCAAGTAAGTAGATTAAATAGTTGGCAAATATTTAATCAAAATATTTTCTTATGAATTTGATTTAAAATAGTTCAATATTTCTTATTTTCTAAGTTATTGATTAATTTTTTTATCTCTTCAGTTCAAGGATCAATTGGTCCCTTGGCAAGAAATTTTGATGCTCTCTTATTGTTGTCTCAAGCACTTATGTCTCCTGAAATGTATGAGCTGGATCGATCACTGCCACCTTTACTTTTTGACAAGCAGGTAACTAAGGCTCAGATGATAAGGCTTTGTGTACTCCTGGGCTGATGGGTGTTTTTCTTTAAACACATTTTTAGAGGAAAAAAATTATTGCACAGCTTTTGGATAAGGACGCTTTAGTGAAAACAAATGAAGGATTCAAACGTATTTTTAAGATGCAAATATTCGTCTGAGATACTTAGACATATGCATAAGAGACATGAAGTCGGCCAACATCGACATCTCAAACTCGGAGGAGCTGGCAGAGGATCGATCCTCATGGCGGGACATCGTGAAGGCAGGATCACTACATGCCGAGGAGCAAAACAGGGCGGAAACAGCTGCAAAAAGAGCGAGGGGGAAGGCTGGTAAATACTACTTCACCGCATTCGTGTGTGGGAAATGTAACAGAGACTGCCATTCGAGGATTGGTCTCACCAGCCACACCAAGAGCTGCAAGCAATAAAGATAATCTATCGTCTCCCGCAGACGGAAAGATGCCATACATACAGACATTCCTAAATAAGTTAACATGTTTGGGCAACTAGAAAACTAATAATCAAAATACCCATTTTACATCTAAATGTATTCTTAATCTATCAATCACTTGAAATAAGAAAAAAAACACAAACTTAATATTAAATTAAAAATAATCAGTCACTTACTGTTTTAACTATCCCTAACGCCTAACATGCATTTATCATTACTAGGGTAAATTATACTTAGGAGAGACAGGTCGTCGCCTTGGAGACCGGCTTAGAGAACACCTCTATAACATAAATAAATAAGCTCTCTGTCCAGTCTCCAAACATTTCAATAGCACTAACTGTGATGGAATTTTAGACATTGCAATTACTGGTATAATGTATACTAGTAACACAGCGGATAGGATCTATATGGAGCATGAATTAGATTTGGTACGTTGACAATGTTCCCTCTAAGGTTTGTTGGTTCGTGTGCAAAATCATACAGTTATGTGCAAAGCTTTACAGCTTCATTTTTTTTTTCGGAAAATTTTACTGCCCACTCACTTGCATGGAAATTTGCTGCACGGTACTCAAAACTGTCTGTGAGACAGCCGTGCAGCTTAAAGGGAACATTGACTTTGACTCCATACGGGATAAACCAAATCCACAATTTTGCGTAGCTGCCATGTCTTTTTCCTGTTTGTTTTCTTTACATTTTACTTCAAATCACTTCCTTTCCATTCTTCTTTACTTTGTTTCTGTCTGGTTTTTACGCTCACTCCCATTTTTTCTCTTATTTTAGGTAAGATATATGTATATATATATATTATGTAAATTTAATTTATACTTATTTAAAAGTTTTGGTGTTATACTGATGTGCCAAAATGCTTGTGTATTATGTAAAATTATTATTTAAGCTTAACATATATTGTAATATTGACACAAATTGTATTGTCTAATTAATATATTTTAAAGCTTTATCACAGTCCAACACTCTTATATTTATCATGAAGGTTAAAACAAATGAAGTCTTAAGAAAAGGGCACATTTTAAAAAATAGAGAAAGATTTCTTTTTCCATGAAACATTATTTTATGATTTGTAGAAATATGAAAAGAAAGGACCTTTACGTATTGGTTTCTATACATTTGATGGGACGTTTGAGTGTCTACCACCAGTTGTGAGAGCCGTGCATGAAGCAAAAAAAGCCTTGGAACTAATGGGCCACGAGGTGAGATATTTATAATGATATATTAAAAAAAGTTTAATTGATTTTTTTAATGATAATCTTACTTGATAGTCTACAATTTCTGTATAATGATTGCTGGTGAGATGATATGTTCATTGTATAAGTTTAAAAAAAATTATTTATAATTTCTTGTAAGCAAAAATTAAATTGTACATCCTATTTGTGTTTAAAAATAACTAATTCTCTGCACGAGGTAACTACCTATCAAATAGCTTTATCTGCAACAACCTTTCTTGAAATATTGATAATTTCAAAGAATAATAAATAATATAACAGTATTACAGAACAAATTGCCATTGGCTTCTCAGATTGTTTTTTTTTAAATGAAGTGTACATTTTAACCTAATTATTGTTTACAAGTCAATACTATAGTTATCAATCTCAAGCATTTAAGAAAAAGTTATAAATTTTGTAAAACGTTTTTCTAACACTTTTTCAGGTTGTTCCTTTTGATTTTCCTAAAATATTGGGCTCTGGTTTCAAAAATGCAGATTTCTTTGTTCGCATCATGATGGCTGACAGAGGTGTAAGACTGAGAAAAATGTTGTAAGTTACTCAATCCATGTGCCAGGACCATTACACTTTCAATTATTATCACTAGTAAATAACAAGACATATGCTGGGCTTGACTAAATACAAAAAACAAAATACATATGTGTTTTGATATTGCCTTCTTGATATATTTTTAAAAGTTTTTTTTTTTTATATGTTTGTTTAGTAGTGCTTTATCATGACGGTAATTTTTTTAGTTTGTTAAATTCTTTATGTTGTTACTTCTATTTTTTATTTTAAATTAACCAAAAGGAAAAATGATGAACTAGCCCTGCCATTGAGACTTCTGTTAAAGCTGGGGACATTGCCAGTTTGGCTAGTGAAAGCTCTTGCATTCATTGCAAGTTTTAAGGTCGGTTCTTTAATAAAGAAACTTTATTTGGTTTCTGGAAGTATAGAACTATACTGGCATCAGATAAAAAAAACAAAGTGAAGACAAACATTTAGATGTGACTAACATATTGATAACCCACAGCTCCTAGAGTCAGTATAAAAATCATAAGTCGTTCACTCTTTAGATCTAGTTTTATTCAATTCATTAATTTTTTTTTTTTTTTTTTTTTTTTTTTTTTATTTTTTTTTTTTTTTAATTTTTTTAATTTTTTTATTTTTTTTTTTTTTTTTTTTTTTTTTTTTTTTTTTTTTTTTTTTTTTTTTTTTTTTTTTTTTACTAATTTATTTTTTTTTTTAAATTTCCTAAATATTTTCAGGATCCTTTTGGTGCATCTATTCTCGGCTGCAGTGTTGGATTTGAGTAAGTATGGTTTTATATTGTATGACCGACGATTTAAGAAATTATTGTATATTGTATTACATATGTTTCAAAGAGAATATATTTTTTATAACTTGTGTTATCTTAGTAATTTGAAGTTATTTTATATTTTTATTCTTTGCAGCTCCATTCCCGATTTCTTTGATCATGTTACATTATTTCAGGTAAGTTAAAGATCACTATTATATCACATTTGAAGATGCAAATTTTTTTCAAAAACTTTATTTTCACCTTAAAATCATTTTATCATATATAATCACTGACTATTTTATGATCATTACCATTATGTCAGCCCTGTATCCTATGGTAACTTTATTTTTGGGGGATGGAGGTAAATCCTCAACCACCAAAGGTAGAGACAGTAGTCATCTTGGTCTGAGCTAAAAAAAAAATCATGTATCTAAAAATAGCTTCCATAATACTATTTCAAAATAAATCCAGAATGTAATATGCAATTTTTTAAAATGATCTCACACATATTTAATACAACTTTATCATCTTTTTATCACTTCCCAGCATATTTATCACTGACTTTTTTCATCACTTACCATCTAATTATCACTTACTATCTAATTATCACTATCTAACTTACACTTACTATGTTTCTTATCATAAATCATCATGGTAAAAGAGTTCAGTATATTTAAAACAAAAATAATTCTTCCTAAAAAATATATTTGGAAAACTGACCAAAATTTAAATACTTCAATACATATTTTTATGAATTTCTTGTCATGAAGTTTATGTTCACTTGTTTCACCCTCTGTGTCCGATTTTTTCCTTTAAGTTATTATTTTTTTTTTCCTCTTCATTTCCAAATGTATTTATTTTACACTCCATTAATAAGAATTGGCAAGAAGAGTTTATGGAAGCGTGGCTTGGAAAACGTCTTGATGCTGTCATTTGTCCAGTGTTCCCCAGCCCAGCACCGACCAGAGATGTCATTCACCAAGTTACACGTATGTAACTCACATTTAGTTAATGTAGCTATGGCAATAACAGGAACACATGTCCTAGAACTAGAATATTAAATTTGACAACTAGAAGAGTGTCCCAGCAAAACACATTTGGATTAGAAAGACACATGTTGAGTATTAGAAAGACACGTTGAGGATTAGAAAAGCACATGTTGAGGATTAGAAAGACACATCCTTCATTCACTTTCAGGTATAATATGTAACCTATTTTGCCAACAGCCTGTGGTTTGTATTGCCAGCTGTACAATTCCCTCAACTACCCTGCTGGTGTCATCCCAGTCACCACAGTTAATAAGGAGGATCTAAGAAAGACTTTTGATGAGAATTTCTTCACCGCCAACTCTATGATTCACAAGCTCTTACTGAAGGCATGTCAAATTTTGTTTTGATTCAATGTGTAGGATGTGAAGAGCAATAATTATTTCCAGTTTTGTAAACAAATGTATCATGGTGTAAATGCAGCTCTAAGAGTAAAATTAAACAACCCTTAAAAACAAAGGTTTTTCAAATAAACCTTTTGTGAATTGTAATATCAAGCCATGGGGTGTGGGGCTGAACATTTGACAAAACATGCATTCAAGTAAAGCACTTATAAGGATCCAGATTAGTCCTGCAACCGCACATTTTTTTCATGCCCTGAACTATAGTAATATTCTAATGACCCACCCGCTTTTACACAGCAGATTAATTTCACCAACTATTTCCGAAAAAACAAAAGAAAATATTACGCACCTTGCAATATTTTTTAAAAGAATCTCAATTAGTGCAGTTACCTGAAATTTAATTTTATCTCCCCTTTGAAAAACCAGAAAAACTGAATTTTGGTGGGTGGGGTTAAAAATTTGATAGAATGTGTTGTCATAAGCAACGAGTCTTTGTGTCAAGTTTCAGCTGTAGCTTGATAGGAAGTGGGCCAATTGGCCATCTGAAGATTTTGCCACCCAGCCTGCCTGCCAGCCAGCCACCCACAAACAAAAGCGAAGTTAATATAAAGGATTTAAAAACAATATTTTCCTGAAATCTTTTGATAGCTTTAGTTTTCTTTTAAATGTTGGTTGGATGTTAATTCCTCACATTACAAATATTAATGAATGCTAGGTCGAACTTTAATTCAGTCAGATTGAATTTTTTGTCTTTGCATTTCCTGTTTCAGAGCACAAAAAGTTCTGAAGGGATTTCTGTAGGAGTTCAATGTGTTGCCCTACCATTTCAAGAGGAGATGTGTCTCAGAGTCATGAGAGATTTAAACAAAAGTCTCCAAGAACATAGAGATTATATTGGATAACAAGAACATTGATTATATGGGATACAAAGAATATAGAAATCATATTAGACACAGACATAAATATAAATATACATAAGAATGAGCTTAGGTATTCATATAACGCTTTAAAAAACTGACTCAATTTAAATACATTCAGAGTTTTAAAAGCAATGATAGGGATTTTATTTTACGGAAATGGAATAAATTTAAATATGCTAAAAATAAAATATATCTGCTCATATTTAAGAACAACTTTAAGTATTATTATTATAATTTACAAATACATGTAATATAACAATTTAAAAAATATCTGAAGTCTTTTTATCAGAATTTGTAAGTTAAGATATTTTTTTTACTATCAATTAAAATATAATTATTTATGTATTACAATTATTAATTGATAATCAAAATTTTCTGAAAAATCAAAACATCTTTTGTTTTTTTATTGCGTTGTTAATATTTTGAATATTAATTTAAATTATGTTATCCAAATATCCTCAAACAATATCAAATAAAAAAATTTTGCTTGAGCTCTAAGAAATAAAATTTAGAATAATCTTAATTACCGCGGGTGACAACTGTGAATGGTTATTCTCCCATTTGAAAAAAGAAATGTAATTGATTGCTTTTTAAATTTTTCATTTACCACAGATTTTAACTTGTGTACTTTTTAAATTTAATAAGTTTTACTTAATTTTCATTCAGAAAATTTGCTTTTATCATATATATAAATTAATAAAAACTTAATGTTAAAAATATGTTTTATCAGAAAATGATGTTCAAGCCATTATGTGCATAAACAAATACCATTTACTAATTCTCTTAACACTCATCTAAATAAGAACTAACCTTATGAAGTTGCAATGGATTCATTTTGTTAACATTTGAACTTTGGTATAGATTTTAATATTAAAATAAATAACCATGATCTTTCAGTATATGGAATTATGCTTAGACCAATTTTTTTAGAAAATGTAAAACAATGAGTGGTAAAAGAGTGGTGGGACTTAAGAATTTTAAAGAAGTTCTGGGGCATGCAAAAAATGTGCAGTTGCCTACATGGATGATTTTTATTAACATTTTGTGCCAGGCAGCACAAGATATGCCTAAGAATGGAGGAGGGAATATGATAAATAATTAACCTTCTTCATTAAACACATATCAGAGGGATGGAATAGCATGTGTACATTTCTATGTGGATGACGATATCTTCAAATCCAATAACATTACAGTCTTGAAAAAGAGGGGTTTAAATGCATTTTACAATTATGTCATAAAATGCAGTTTAAGAGTGTTGACACATTGTGGACACATTTACATGAGTCAACCCATAAATCCATACTCTGTGAAGTTGGATAACATTTTCTTTGATATGGTTATTTTCAATTTATCCAAAGGGTGAGGATAAGGGGGGGGGGGCATATTTATAAGGATAATATTTGATCTTTAAAATGTACTGTAAATATTTTGTGAATAAATTTGTAAAAGAATGTGAGTGGGGAAATTTTTTGTGGATAACAATATCTAAAAACACAAATATTTTAAAGCCGTTGAAATTTGATTACCAAAAAATACAGTACAGGGGCATAAACAAATATGAGTTTAGATTTTGCTTTTAAAAAATGGAATAATATTTGTTTTTCCATTTTGAGCAAAACACAGATCAGGGGCATGGGAAATGTTTATGAGATGAAGAATAGTTCTTAAAAAAGAAAAGACTTTTAGACTTGAAAATTGGATAGGGGGTCGTTCACAAATTACGTCACGCTCGGGGGGAGTGGGGATCAAAAAATTTGTGATGTCACATTTTATTTTTAAATATAAATAAAATTTTCTAATTTTGAAAAAATCTTTATGTAATTAATTTTTAAAACATTAATTTGAGGTCGATATTGCCTCAGGTAATATAGGTTTGATGAAATTCAGTTTTTTAATAATACTGCATCTTAATCCTTTATGGGAAAATTTTAAGAATAAATAAAATCTTAGTTTAGTTATGAAAATTTTATGTACGTATTGAATTTTTTTAGGTGTGACATGACACTTGGGGGTGGGGGTATGTGTAAAGAATTTGTGACACTTCGTGACAGGGAGGGGGGGTATAAAAAGGTCATTTTAAGTGTGAAGTAATTTACGAAAGACCCCTAATAGATTCGTTTTGAGCTAAAAGAATTCTGTTTTATTTAATGATTTTGTTATAATATAGTTCAGGAATGAAGCAGAGGTTGGGCAAATTTTTAATGACAGTACGAATATATCAAAATCCGTAAATGCTAAAGATATTTCTTAAACAATGTTTAAGTAAAACTTTAAGATACTTGTTGTCTTTTTAGATAAGAATCCTGAAAAATGGTTGGTTCTTTTATTGAAAGAAAATATTTATCAAAACCCAATGATGTGAAAAATATAAATATTTATACATGTCTAATTACACTAATTACCTATTTCCTAAATATACATTTCAAGGGCAATGAAATTTATCATATTTTTTGTTTGAGGATACCATACATCAAAACACAATTCAGCTGCATTATGTAAAAAATGTATTTTTAGATGTTGAGACCTCACTAGACTAGAACAGGTGAAAAGTAGCCCAACGTGCCTTCCATTATATCCGGATAACACCAAGTCATACAATTTAGTTATATATAAGATGTACATAAAATTGAACTATGGTACAAGAAAATATAATACCAGAAAACAATTATATTTATTTTATTGGATAACAAACACATAGAGATTATAATGGATAACAATAATAAAGGTTACTTAGGAAAGCAATTATACAGATAAAAAGTGTGTGACGAAAGTGGATACAATTAAAGAGAATTTCTCAGATGTGTTGTTATATTTTGTTGGTATGTGATTTCTTCTTTAAATATACAAAATGAAACTTTGAATGAGGGTAAAAACATTACTGTGTTTATTAATCATTTTTTTCTCAAATAAAATTTCATGATAAAGATATATATGGACATAAAATTATATTTGATGTTACTGTACAGTTTGAAAAATTGATTTTGAATTTCTCAGCATAACTCTCTCTAAAATTCTGTAAGTGTTGGGTTTACTAATTCTCATATATTAAAAGACAGCCGCAATAAGCAGTTTTTTTTTAAGAGCTACTGCAATTCTATGCCCATGCATTTTCTTGTTTGACTGCAAGATTTCATTTGTTTTGTTGATATATTTTTACCAAGATGCTTATTTACAATACTCATATTAACAGATTGTATAAACTAATTGTAAATTTTTTTTAAAGGTGCTTTGATTGCCAAAGAAAATGTAAATATAATTAAGCAAGTAACCTGCCTCTTTACTATATAATTTATAAATATCTTTTTAAATAATAAACTCTTCAACTTAGTGAGCTTATAGATTTTTTTTGCACCAGTGGTTACTCAAAATCCGCAAAATCCACAGCTCTTGGCCACAGTATTGCAAGATTTTTTTTTGGTCAGTGCGTTGTGAAGAGGATGCATTCAGTAAATTAATACATTAAATCAATTGAGGCATTTATAAATCTCTGTTTTAAATCTTTTATTGTTTATAAGAGTTGAGATTAGAAAAAATTTATAAGACATTATTTATAAGCAACTGTTATTATTCTTGTGTTTGATGTAAATTGTAAACTGTACTTATTATAAATTGTAGCCATAAAGTTTTAGATAAACTTTACTTAATTTTCTGACAATATGTTATCGTCAAATTAAATAGCTTGATACACTGCGTACATGAGTTTTCAAAACATTAGTCCAGTCAGTCCCAAACTGTTAAATCGCTACATTATAATATGATATATGTAGACCAGTCAAAACTTTGCTAAAATCACTAGTTTAATGTTGTTTCATAATGGAAAAATGTACTTTAAATATTACTTAAAATGGAAAAATATTTATTAATAGCACTGTAATTTATTATTGCTGTTTTCTAACCTGATTTTTGTTCTGGCTGCTCTAACTTTTCTGCATTGACATCCTTTGTTGATCCTTGGACAAATGCTTACTTCATAGCTGAATTTTTTTTTTTTTTAAATTTTGACATTTTTATAATTACGTTTAAAAATACATCTTAAAATTATTTTTGTAATTACAATATTTTAATTGCAATTTATTATTTGTCTTGATGTACCTCACTTACATATTTTGGTGCTGGGTGGCCTAGCGGTCTAAACTGAGTCAATCCCAAGCAGTCCTTCATTTATTGTCCATCAATCCAAAGCTTTTGGATTGGAGTTCAATCCCTAGCAAAAGGCTAGACAAGCAAAAACCACACCAGCAACCCGAGTGGATTGGACTTGCTAACCTTTGTTGACAACACATCTAAGATAAGGCAAACTCTGAAGTCAAACCTCAAGATGGAGTCCTGTAGGCAGTGTGACACTGTCACAATGAAAATTCTGTCAACTCCTGTGACTTTAAACGCATAAAGAGCACAGTGAAACACACTTAAAAGCCATTCCTGCTGGTCTATTTTCCAGTCGTCTTGACTGACACTGCCATTAAATCAAATAAGCAAGGATGGGAGAGTGAGACAAACTTTTTTTTTTTTTTTAATTGAGCAACTCTTCCTCACTTTAAACAAAAGACAGCTCAAGTCAAGGCTACTACTTGGTCATTTTCCCAATTGTTCCCAGTATTTTTATCAAAATGTATTCAGATTTTGTACTCTCTATGCACTAAATTGATGTGCACCAAAGAAGCTTATTGGCAAGCTTTCATTTCTAATTTTCCCTCACAAAAACGGTATATCCTGTACCCTAGACAAAACCTATCAGTATTCAATGCTATTTGTTCAAGATCCTTTTTTTAAATATTTTGTTTAAATATCCATTTTTTGATGAAAATTGAATTTATTTTTAAATGTACCGCTTTATTAAAGATTGATCTATTGCACTTTTATTTTTAAAATTATAATCAAATTATATTACACTTCAGAATATATTAAATTGTGATTGCTTACATCTATTAATTATTTTATTCAAATTAAAAATATTTTTTATAGCATTTTTTTTTTTTGGAACTCTTTTTCTTTACATTTCTCTTATTGTTCAGATTCTTTTGTGATTTATAAAAAGATGATTGAAAACCTAAAAGTAATAGAATGAAGCAAATAAGATAAGAGTAACTTATTTAATTATGGTTAATTATGTTAAGAGGAGAAGAAAAAAAAACAGAAATACAGACTAACAATTCAGTAATATTTATTTACATACAACATAAAGTGGAATATTGTTATAAACAAATTCAAGACATTATCACAATTGGACAAATAACTGATTTCTTCCGAGTGGGAAAGAAGTTTATTCAAAGTTTTTGTGAAGGGCAAATCGGAAAGTCAACAAAAATGAAAAAATATGGTTTTCAGTCTTCCTCTACTTTCAGTGTGGGTATTTTCTATGATAAAAAATGTTGAAATATGGTTTTAAATTATATATATTTGAGCCTTTGACTCCAATCAAAGTTTCACAATAAATTACTGAGTTACATCTTAGTTCCTCTGATTAGCAGTTACTGCTTCCTTGGTAACAGTTGTTACTGTTTTCTTGGTTAATGCCACTGTAACAGAATCCTTTATAATGTCAGAGTTTTACCTGGTTTGGTTACAACTGGTGAGTGTTACAGTGTTTCAATTATCACTGTAACAGAATCCTTTATAATGTCATAGTTCTACCTGGTTACAGCTGGTGAGTGTTACGGTGTTTCAATGTTCACTGTAATAGAATCCTTTATAATGTCATAGTTTCCTTTGCAACAGATGGCGAATGTTACAGTGCTTCAATTTTTTTTGGTTAGCATTAATGTTGCCAATAGTTTCAGTGTCACTTTCATTGTTTACAGGTGTCAATTTTTTTATTTGTTATCGTTACCAAAGAGCCCTAGTGAAGAATTTTCAAACTGTTACTCAGTACATGCTAGAAGACTTGAGGTCAATATCAGACATAATCCACCAAAACTATTGTAACGCTTTACCAGCACACAGCATCAAATCTCATCTTGAAACTATTATTTTAGGGGGTTTTATTTAATTAATTTTTTTAAATAACATTTCCTTTTCTTTGCTTCTTCTTGCTGATAAGTCAGTGGAAGCCAACGTCTTCACTAACGCCTGCTTATGGTGGAAGTATTACTCCCCTGCTTGGTAGATTTTGATGACAAAGGGTGTTCTTTCAGTTTTTGTGCACTTGGCGTTCTGGATGGCCTCAGACTAAACTGACGTGGTATTCCTGAAAGAATAATTATTTTTTTTTAAAAATCATCAAACTGTTTGAATCTTATGTTTCGACAGGTGGCCAGCCACATTATCTTTGTCATAATTTGAGACATCATTTTATCTTGGACAAATCTCAAGGTGAAAGTGCATAATTTTTTTTGCTTGTTTGGGTCTCCATGAAGCTAATTAGGGACTAATAATTGTTGGTAGCTTGAAAGACATGAGCAGTCAAAATAAAACCCACTTAATTGCTCTATTTTTAAATAACATTTACCACTAATCTTGAGACAGCAATCTTTGAAAATATCGAAAGGGGCAGTTTGCAAGCAAAGACATTTTCACCCTTTTCCTCCTCTATAAATATGAATGTCATCAATAAAATTATTAAAGAGTGCCTATGATAAGAAAAAAAAATGATCTGATCTAATTTTATTTAAATTTGTTAACTTTGACCCTTTAGACTGTTCAAACTAAAGGCAATAATACTAGGCAGATAGAAAGCCACTGGCTATGCAAGGGACTAACCCAAAAGCAAGGAAATTCATGTGCTAGATAGTTGGGTTGAGGGGGGGGGGGGTGTTTTTTCTTTTTTTGGGGGGGGGGGGGGGGGGGGGGGCCGCGGGTGTTAGAGAATGTGGAGATGGTATAAAAAGTTTTCAAAAATAAATTCTCCTAGCCCTTTCTCTGAAAATATTTGACAAATTGAATGTCTACCTAATTCAGAGGGCCGTGGAATTAAAGTCTTCACCAGCTTGAAATGTAAATCTTGGACAACTACTTCAGCTTTCGTGAGGATCTCTGTTGTCTTTTTGGCTGCAATTCCTGACACAATATCCTGGACCAGTTCTTCCAACATCTGTCGATTTTGTGAAACATTTTGATTATATAACCTAATAAGTATAAAAGTAGTAAATGGATGATGTAAAGAAAGCAGTTTACCATTTGTATCATAATCAAGATGGTAAAATGACAAACCATGTGCAGTAAGTGCTGACATCAAATGCTGATTAAATTGACTGTCATTTAAAGTGACTGTTGAAAATATAACAAAAACCATGCCAATTTTCATTAGCATAAAAATGTGGACTTAAAGCTTTTTTAGCATAAGTTTTGGGGAATTCACATTTTTGTTTTTAATTTCACAAATTCTATGTCTGAGAAACAATAATATAAAAATGCACAAAATTGATACAGAAATACCTTCTGTTAAACTACAGGAATGAGATTGTTGTAATTTGACTGACTCAGTCTGATTAAATGCCTCACAAATTCAACAGACCATTTTAACTTGACAAACAACATACTTTTCTAGAATAAGGTGTCGGCTCATGCTCTAGATCACCTAGGGTCTTGTGGCCAAATGTTTCACTGCTCAAACTGCACACAGAAGAAAAAACTAATGAATTATTTATTTAGATGTTATAGATCCTTTGTTATAATGGCTTTTTACAAATCTTTAATCAACTATAAAAATAACAATGTTTCATTAATCATTAGCATGCCAAGATAAGGGTAAAATATAATTCAGGGTTATCATTAATAGCTGCAACAAGAGTAATCTTACTTGGCCATCTTTTCTCTGAGCTCTGTTATGGCTTGTGCTTCCTGGTCCTCCAATTCCTTGAGCTTTTCTTCATATTCGTAAACAGCCTTCACTTTGCCTTTGAACAGTGGAAGTGGTTTTGGAGGCACTATTACCTCTTTACGAATCTCGGAAAGATAAAAAATTGCCTCATATTTATTTCTGTTATTGGTGTAATATAATAATTTTCCACCTTATACGATTGTCATTTATTATCATGTTCATTTTTTCTTCTAAAAAATCTTTATGACAAAGGAAGATTTACAAAAAATTAAAATCACTTCTCGAATATAACTAGAAAAATTGGCACGTTTCTATCCCCTCTTTAATTATTGTTTTCATTAAGTCACACAATATCTAAATAATACCCCATGCAAATGTCTATAATAACTTAATGTAACTTTTTTAAACAGAAGTGTTAACGCTTATCAAGGACTGGTTGATATAGAATATCTGCTCTTCATTAAATGTAAATTTAGGATGTAAGAAAATAGTGTTCATAAGCATTTTATTTTGTGAACATTTAGGCACATTATTACCAGTGGGCTAATCAGTTCCCTTAGGTTTGAGAAGACATATTTGTAAAGGTTGTAATGGAGTAGTACAGTTTGATAAAGGAAATCTGTATATTGTTTCTTTTGATGGCTGTCTAGTAAATCTAATAGTGGGAAGAGCTCCTTGATGTCTACTACAGCATCAGATAGTTTGTGCTTTTCAACTGAAATTTACAAGAAAACTTGAGATGGCAGTAAACAATTAGAAAATTTAAAGTAAAAATTTCACACTTCAGTTTTTACTCTCAAATTTGTATTTAAAATACAGTCCTCTGTTGAATTTTTTTTCTTTCAAGAACTGTGGGCTGGAATTTAAGTAAATAAAGATGGCACAGTTTGATTTGGTAGTCACACATATCTTATAATAATTCAAATCTTTAAATGTATTCAAAATCAATTTGATCGGCATATGAAGAGTCGATTTTCAAAATGCTGTTTCTCCATCTTTGGCGTTTTGAGATAATCGACTTTTTTTGCTACACAATGATGGCTCAAATTTTCAGAAAAGTAGTGTTAATTTAGGTATATATTCAAAATATAAGTTAGATTATGATGAAAATTCAAATGTATGTTGATTAAAATGTATTTATTTACCAGGTTCAATTTCTTATTTTGTTTCAAAATGCTGTGTATCCAACTACAAATTAGCGACAAAATGCTGAATATCCATTTTGATAGGATAAAATTCCCAGTACCAAATATTTCAGTTTGTTTATAAATTACAAACCACTTACTTACCAAAATTAGTTTAAATTATTTAATATACATTATATATTTGTGTATGATTAATGTGTTTTATTGATATATTTTAACAGAACAGTTTATAAATGCTGGAAAATCCCCAGTAATAGTGTAATGTTTAGAGTGCTATAAGTCTGCATGATTTGTTTTTATAAATCTGAATTCTAAACAAAAGTAAACAAGATAATGTTCAATTCACAAATCATTTTTTTTATTTTGAAGAACAACAAAATAGAAAATAATGAAGTGTCTGATTTAGAGTGTGCAGCATCTTCAATAGCAGTTTGGTTTTGTTCCAAGAAAAGTCTATGCTTCTTATTTACATTCAAAGGAGAGAGCAAATATTTCTGTCCTTGAGCACCCTTTCTTCTGTAATGGCTGGCTCTGCATGTGAAAGATTTAATGTGTAATAAATAACACAGGTAACTCTATAAAGCAACTTTTTATTTTTATTTCCTAAACACTTCTGATGTGTAGTAACCATGACCATAGTATTAATAATAATGTAAAATGAACTTTAGTGGTTATTTAATAAAGTTACCAGTAACTCACCTTGCAGAACCCTTTATTGTAATTACACGTAACGGAGGGTATCTTTCCTCCGCTTGAATGACGAAATAATTTTTTTTTCTTTTTCGAGATTTTATAGCACAAACAACTCTTTCATCCAGGCAGTCGTTATCCACCATGTTTGTTGTTGTTTCGCATCGTGATGTTTAGTGCGCATCCGCAGAATGCCACAGAATCAGGTTGCCAATCACACGGATTGGTCCGAAAATATATACAGCATTTTGATAATAAAAAAAAATTCAAACCGCGTTTTGAAAATAAAATCATTTTTAGAAATAGAATAATATAGGATTAAAATGTGTTTTGTTGTTTAGAAAGTTACAGTTACAATAGGCCCATTTCTATTGACCACCTTGTATACAATTATATAGTTATAAAAAAGGCAAGCAGCTATTTTTCAAACAGAAAACTAATCTTAGCTTGATAATGGTATGTTTGCAATATCTTCCATTAAGTTTCATACAAGATTTGCATAACTCTTTTAAATTATTGTATTTGGTTAAATAATTAGATGCACATTTAGATATTTAAAATGCTAACAAAATAAATGTACAATATTTAAATTATACATAGAAAATTTTTTACCATTTGTTTTCAAAATATATTAAATATGCCTAACTCATAAGTTGAATAAATAGGAACTTATAAAAAATTCTAATTTTCTCAAATTAAGTCTTTACTTATTTTAAGGGATCTTATCTTAATAACTTTTGCCTTCTATTTGTTTCTGTTTATTTTCATTTTTTAACAATGCTTTTTGATATAAAGATAATAACATAAATATGTTTTTGTGGGGGGTTATTGCCAATCTAGTATTTCAGAATAACCACTCTTTCATCATCTTAGTATGCACAACTCAAAATGTAAGGCGGGCCGTAATACTTTATGAAAAACTTGTGTAGGCCAAAAGAAAATAGGACTGGGGGAAAACTATTAAGAAAATAATAAAAATACATAATATTTCGTGACTTCAAGGGCCTCAAAGTTGGTGCTGGCAGGCCGTATGTTGTGCAGGCTTGCCTTAATCTTCTAGTTCTAGTCTCCTGAGGTATATAATTAGCCATGCTAACTTATGCCCAAGATTAATTTATAATACTCACCTAACATTCGTTTAAGGAGTTCATGGACAAATTTCACCACTTGAGGAATCTGGGACCATGGAAACCCTTTTTCAGTAGCAAACATAATATTATCATAAATAAAAGAAACGAAAAGTGGTTTCTGTGCATCTTTTCCATCTTTGAATGGTGGAATTCCAAGTTTTTCTGCTAGGATTTCTTTAGCTTCATGTTCCTGTTTTGAAGACATTGTTAAATCTAAAGTTTAATTTTGATAGAGTACACAAAAATTAAGCAGCTGAAGGCACAAAAAATGTAGGGGACAATTAAAAAATGTGGACTCTTTCTAAACATCATATACATGCCAAGGAGAATCTGCACCAGGGGCAAAGCCTGAAAATAGTGCTACCCCCTCCTCCATTTCATCAATAAGTGATCTAAGATATAAACAGTGTTTTCTTAAAATAAAAGAGTGTTAGGATAAAAGGACTTTCACTCTGATTGGTGAGGGGGCAGGGGCAAATGTGGAAAATTATTGATAAATTTTGAAATAAAAAGAAGCATTTTGACGCATACCTGAAAATATTTTTTCTTCATCATTCTACAGTTAACAGGAGACCTGGTTGTGTTATACAAATTCTATAATTTTTTTGTTACCAAATAGTGATGCTGATTTTGGGTTAGCAATAAGGCTGGTGATGTGTTCCACAATATATGCCTATTGGTCATGGAGGTTTGTCCAAGTCCAGGTCAACTTTCATCCGTAGTATAGTTCCGCATTCAAAAGATTTCATTTTTTTATGTTTGTGTTTACGTAATGCAAGTTTTTATTTTCTCATTTTCTATTTTTGAAAGTGGGGGGAGGGGTTCTGGGGAGAAGTATCCTCTCACACAGGAGATTATTTTGTTTCTTATTTTGTTATTGAAAGTGGGGGGAAAATTATGGAGAAATTTCCCGTAAAATTATATCACACATGTCGTTCAGGTCCAACAATTGGTCTATTCATTTTTAGTCCAGAGTTGGGATTCCCAAAGTGAAGTCACTGTGCTTAGGCAGGGTGAGACAACTCTTGGCAAAACTCATCCATTAACCCGAAATTTACCCTAATTTCAAATAATAATTAATAAGACTGTGCTGCTGCTCCTTATACAGTAAGTTATAAGGTAATATAAGCTAACTTATTATTTAAAATATAAGTTATAATGGTCAGTTATAATTACTACACACTAAGAAGTAGTAGTAGGTCTAGGCCTATTAATTATTAAAAATAAAGGTGTCAAAATAAATTCTTGTCTTGAAACTGTTTTACTCCCTTGACTTGGGTCTAGTCTTTAGTTTTAATTTTTTAGTTTGACTACATTTTTAATTAAAAGTTTTGATTAAAAAATTTAGTAAAACTAAAAGATTAAAGCTAAATTAAAGACGTCAGCTGTCCATGGAGTAAAAACAAAAACATTGTCAAGCAAAAGTTTAGTGACAAGGTTTATGAAAAAACAAAAGTTTTATGAGGAAGTGCAGAATTAATGTACACTGTAAACAATTTTCTTCAAGTTAATTTTTTTTTGTTTGTTTGTTAAAAACGCACATTGTTTGAAAAAACTATTTCTTGAACATCTGAAATAGTTAGTGTTTTGCAGAAGCCATGTTTGGCGTCCGAAGATGCCATTTTGGTTGCTATATATGACGACATCAATGAGACCTTATTATCGTGAATATGAAGTTCACTTAATTTGTGTCGCTTTCTTCATTTTCTTTAATAAACAAATATACAAACATATATTATTTGTTTTTAAGTAAATTACTTAAATTTTTTCAATAAATTTGAAATTAAATTTTGTTTTTAAAAATAACCAATAATACATGTTTAAAACTATTTATTATTGATCCCTGCAATAGGAGAGTATAAAAATACAGGTCTAATCACTAATGAGAAAAAAAAAAGTTTCTTGACTGTCATGTGATAGGTGAAAATGGCGTTCATCAAAATAGTTTTGTTGTGTATTTTTGGTATTCTCGTACCTAGTAAGTTGGTAAAAAGTGACTAGGAACATCAATAATATAATATAATATAGTCAGTTTTTGGTACCCAGTTTTTTAAAAAATAATATAGAATATATATAATATATAGACCCTATATAGGGATTTACCAGGGATTTTTGACAACACTTATGACTTATTTCAGTAATTTTTTATCTACTTTTTCATTCAGTATAGTATAATAATTAATACTAGTACAATAGTAATTAATAATAAATAATTATAAATAGTTACTAAACTAAACTGTACTACTATACTATTATTATTATTATTAAATTATTTATTATTATAAATTATAAAAATTATAATAAATAAATTATACTTAAACTTACATAAACTTTATACTATGAACATGAATAGATTAATAGTATAATACTATATAGTATTAATTAGTATAAGCTATTGACTATGCCATTAGACTATGCTAGTAAATTATTAATAAAATTTAAAAAAATTCTAATTATAATTTTTTTTTAAGTATCATAATGAGCATATCTAGTCTATTCTATCCACTGATACTATTACATTCATTAATTTATTAACCGAATTAATAATATATATGTTTTAGGTAGTTATGCAGTTGAAAGTCTTCGATTCCTCATCATTGGGGATATGGGTGGAGTGGACTATGCACCATACAGCACATATTATGAGCGCTCTACAGCTGCAGAGATGGGGAAAATAGCAGATCTCTACTCTCCCCAGTTTGTAATGGAATTGGGAGATAACTTTTACTATGATGGTGTAAAAGATGTCAATGACATCAGATTTAAGGTGAGTCAGACTTCTATCGGTTTAATTGTGATGATGGTGTGAAGGATGTCAATGACATCAGATTTAAGGTGAGTCAGACTTATTTTGGTTTAGTTGTGATGATGGTGTAAAGGATGTCAATGACATCAGATTTAATTTGAGTCAGACTTTCTATTAGTTTAGTTGTGCAACTACTTACCTTAAAATTTTCAGCTGTATAATTAACTATTCATATTTGTTTCCAAGCTTTCAAAAGAACAGAGTTTCAAATAATATGTTAAGTTGCAGATTCAGGCATTAGCTGGGTACCACACTATACCTTGTTATTGAAAAGAGATGACTTTTTTTTGGAGGACACCTAAATATATCATAATTTTGTTTTTGTTGATCTCCAATTTATAAAGTTAAATTATTGTCTTTTTATGTGACCACTGCCTATATTATACAGCTAAAATAATTCTTTTAGTAAATTCAATAATGAGATGAATGGAAAACTCTTGTAGACGACCTATGCCCCAGATAGGGTAAAAGGTAAAAGTAATTAAGTCAGTAAACTTAATAAACACATTTTACGATTGTAAAATGTTAAACTTATGTGTTAAGAGATTACTTGTTGGGGTAACATTATTCTTTGAACCATCTCTGCTTTCCTTCACCATAGGCAACATTTGAAAATGTCTACACAGCTAAGTCCTTACAGATTCCATGGTACCTCATAGCTGGTAATCATGACCACCATGGCAATGTCACTGCTCAGATTCTCTACTCTAAGTACTCCACAAGATGGCAAGTATTTGTTGCTGATGATTGCTTACAAATTAGTTGTTTTAACAATGAAATTTCCATTATAAATCTGAGTAAATAAACTTGTCAGCGACTATTTTTATGGCAATTGATCAGCAGATTTGCGAAAACAGTTTGAGATAAATTTTTATAATGAACATCAAAAGACACTGTTTAAAGAGGTAGGTTAATTTTTAAGGTTTTAATTTCCCAATTCCTTTTTAGTTAACAATTGAGAATACAAATAATTTTTCTTCAAACTAAGTAATATATAATGATTTAGAGATTATTTTAAAGTTATTATGAAGGAATGCCTTTTAAAATATTTTGTTAAAAATAATTTGGACTTTGAAGGAACTATCCGGACTATTATTATTACTTGGAGCTTCCCTTTGCTGATGGCAACCACACTGTAGGATTTGTATTCATTGACACTGTTCAGCTGTGTGGATCAACTGATGATTTTACCAATGTGAAACCTAAAGGCCCTGAGAATAAGATCACCGCTGATGCTCAATGGACATTTATAGAGGAGTCTTTAAAGAAGAGCAGGTAACAAATACATCAGATCGATACAGATGTGAGCTTTATTTGCCTGAAGACACAAAATTTAATTTATGTTTTGTATCCATATACAATACCAAATGGCTTCAGATATTAGAGAATAATTTTAAATTTCCTGATGCAAACTTTGACATTTGACAACAAGGTTTTTTTTATATTCAGGATCAGTTTAGTCTAATGAATTTCATCAATTTTTTTCGTAGACATATTAGAGGTAGAGAATATTTTATCCAAATTCTGTGAATACTTATATCATTTCATGCCAAATAGGTTTGTCTCCCCTTAACTAAGTAAATTGTAGAATTATATACTTTTCTTTTTTTTTTTTTTAAATGTTTGTATACTAGGCCAAATGTTTTTAGGATGAAATATTAACTCGCCATGACTGAGAATAGATCGGGGGTCTGCAAACTTTTTCAGCCATTATCCCAAAGTTTTTTTGTTTTTTTTATGAGCAAAGGTAGGTAGTTGCAAAAGGCATCAATGTTTTGACAACCTTTGGATATCTTGTTGTTTTGAGCATAAAAAGTAGCATCACTAGGAGTGCAGGAATGTTTACCACACATGGGACATCCTCACAGGGGGATGACATCCTCACATGGGAGTGACACCCTCACAGTGATAACCAAATGAAAATTAGTAATGTGACTGAGCTTGATCAAGTTGGTTTCATAACACATCTAAGTTAAATGCATGAGCAGGGGGCCAATCGTCATCAGAGCAGTTTACCACCAGAGTATGTTGTCATAAGAGCAGGGTGTCACCAGAGTAGATTGCCTTAAGAGCAGCATGTCACCTGAGCAGGCTGACTCGGAGGAGGTCCATGGAGAAGTCTGGACAGGGTGACACTGGGTAGAACCAATTATGATGTCTCAGAGCATAAGATAAAATATGCGACTAGGCAAAAATGACAAGCAACTAGTAACCACAAGTTACGGCGTGCATTGGGCTAGTACACTAGCCAGATGTAGCATTGCCAGAAATAAAATATTTTGTTAAAAAATAACAGGCTTTAAATATAATTTTATTTTACCCAGATTCCCTCCAAGATTTCCATTTTTACTTCATTTGGAGTAATTTACCCCAGTTTGCTGACCATTGCATGCAATAGAAGATGGTATTAGCTTCTTAAATTCTTGAATATCCGAAAAATTACGTTATTTTCTCTGTCTAATTATGTCAGAATATGTGCTTTTATCAGTGCAACATTTATCCTGCATTCGTAATAGCCTTTAATGATTGTGGAAATATAATTTATAAGAACACATAAGTTCAATCTGGCACTGGCTACGAACTGTGGACTCTGCAATAAGGCAGATGAATTATCCCACATTTTTACGCTTTAATATGTAACAGAGTCAATAAAAAATTGGCCTGTTAGATTTAGAAACCTATAATATTTGAAAAAAGATATATGTATCTTATCTGGCTCAAAAATGTTGATCCTTTGTTTGTATATGATATCCAAATATCTGCTTATCAGAATTAGATAAACTAACATAATAAGTCAAATGTTGGCTTACACGCCAAGGTCACCCTTTACAAACTCCCAGAGGATGGGCTTTCATTATTTTTAAATTTTATTTGTTATAACATTTGAGTATAATTCTTAAAGAACATCAGATAAGGGAAGATCTTAGTCTTTATATACATTTATTCTGTTTCCACAGAGCCGACTACTTATTCACAGCAGGTCATTACCCTGTCTATTCAATAGCTGAACATGGGCCAACAGATTGCCTTGTGCAGAAATTAGACCCCATGTTGGACACATACAAGGCAAACGGTCATTTGTCAGGGCATGATCACAATCTCCAGGTATTGGTTTTCATTTTCTGGCAGAAGTCTCTGAATTTCATTAATATACATCTCTATAAATTTTCTTAGGTTTCATTAGGACGCATTGACTGCAGCTACTAGTTTTGCATGAGTTACATGTTTTGGAAACATGACTGACAGGCTGCATCAATAGCCTGAAGCAGAGATTAGCATTCCACTAGAGAAAATGTTCTGCTAACTCCTAAAATATAAATAGTGGTAGAAGGGCTAAATTTGATTATGCAAATCTAATGTGTCCGCTGTATTGGGATTTTTATAGTTTAAATTAGCTTCTTCTGTATCAAAGAATGTATTAGTAAAACTGGAAAAAACTTTAAGTAAAGTAGACTCTTCAATGATCTACTAAAAAAATCAGGGTTAAAGTATGGTACAGTTTCTGAATCATTGGAGTTGATAAAACTATCAGAACTGACATAATACTATACCTAAGTTTTTGAGCCCTGTTATCACTGACCTAGTTTTGGTTATTTTATCACATCATCTGGAGCTAATTTTAACTTAAGTATCATGTCCAAAATTCTTTATCCTATCCACATACTAAGTGCATTTAAATATCATTAAAATAAGATTCATTGTTCAGGATTATTTTCATCCATTTATGAAACATAACATATGTGATCTTTTAACATTTTTACTGCTACGCTGTAATCATCTTATTATTTTATTTTGTTCTTTAGCATTTACGCGTTAAATCAAAGGCAGGTAACACCATTGACTACTTGGTGTCAGGCATGGCAAACTTCATCGACATCAGCACAACTCATATGAACTCTGTGCCAGCAGGATCTTTGTTCTTCCATTATTCCAACCTGGCCTCAAAAGGAGGATTCCTCTATGCAGAAACAACCACATCGAACATGACCTTGACATTCATCAATGCAAGTGGAGAGCAGCTCTATTCAACTGTTCTTTTTCCACGCAAAATTTAGTCTCTTTTTAATAAGAGAAATTTTGTTTTATTTTTTTTTCTGTTTTTTCCTCCTAGACCAAGGGGCTTTCACTGTTAATCCTATGTTTTCATAGTAGTTTCTTTTCTGTTTCATTATTTTCTCTGGGCAGAAACCAGGGTTTTATATTAATCATTGTGTGGGAACAACTTAAACATTTACAATTTTGTTGATCAAAAAAAGCACAAACATCGCTACTTGATTTGATTTAAAGAAAGAAACGAGTTGTGGTATCGTTGTTTATTTATAAATATTTGGTGATAATGTTTGATTTGACTTGATTCGAAAAGATGTCTTTGATTTTTAAATAACTTGTTTTAAACACAAAGTTTGGGAGATGTTAAGAAACTAATCCCAACTGCGTTCACATTTTCAAATTCTTAAATTTCTGACAAAAAGTTTATGAATGTTAATAATTTAAAATGGTTATTTTTGGTTAATATATTGTGTGTTTTTTAAAGGTAAAAAATTGTTTAACCATTATATGTCATTTTCTATTGTCTTCAATTTGTAAGTTTACTTGCAATCTTATTCCAAAGCAGTTCATTACAGTACAGGGTATTGATAACTGTTGTATACTTTTTGGCCTGTTTTTACATTATGATTTAAGGAGCTTTATAGAATGTTTCAACTGAAATCGCCTTCTAAATGACATCTAGTTCTAAGAGTTAAAGAAAGTATGCACTGGATGCACAACAAAATTGTCAATCTCATTATACACTATTGTTGAATTTTCAATTCAAGGTATATATATTTATTCATACCTGCTTTTCTTTATCAGCTTTGTCAGTGAGCCATTGGCAGTCCACCATATTGGTAACACTGGGATCAGACTAAAAGTGTATATTTAGCTTTCAGTTAACAATGTGCACTTGTTTTCTTTATAATATGCACCAGTTAGATATAGTGTCCGCAAACCTGTACTTTGACCTCAGAATTAGTTTTCTTCTGCTGTTTGAATAGTCTTGTTTTTGCTACTATTTGAGTTGAGATGTTGTTATAATGTTTATAAAGACCTATCCACCTTCAGGGCAGTTCTTGGTTTATGAAAATTCACAATTTTTATTGCTTGGTTTATGTTATAAATCAAAATTAATTATTTCGGCCCTATTGTGGCATTTTTTGTTTTCCTCTTTAAATTATTTCCCCACTGTTTATAATGAAATAAACGTAATCAATATTTGACACAATGATTTTCACAGGTATATATGACCTCTAACATACAGGATATATGACCTCTAACATACAGGATATATGACCTCTAACATACAGGATATATGACCTCTAACATACAGGATTGCAATCCAATGTGCAAAAGAAAAAAGTGCTGGTTTTTAAGCATAAGAAACAAAAACCTTTTACAAATGACCTTGAGGAACATTTTCATAAATCAAGACCTGCTAGGTTTTAGTTTACATAGTTAAAAAAATGTTACTTAGTTTTTTTTAAAAATTGAATGTCCTTATCGTAAACCAATGGCTTTACCCAAATTTTGATTGGTTTCTTTTTGGGTCCATACTGTTCAAAGTAATTGAACTCTTTATGTGGACTAGTCTTCCGGGTGCCAGTAATATGCCTTTTGCAAAAATTATTTTAAGTAAATAAAATGACTACTTAATACTCTAACTATGCATGTCCTATGAACTGCAAGTGGAACTATTTACATATTTAATCAAAAGGTAATTAAACATGACATTTAGTAATTAACAAATTGTTGGCTTTATTTAATTTTTAAAAATTGTGTGTTATACCTCAGATTTGTGTGCCAATAGCAACCTATCTATCCATTATCCTTTGTTGTCTTAACAATTATATTTGTTTGACACATCTCACCAACCTAATTCTACCTTTATTTCACATTGTAAAACAATTTTTTTCCCCATGCTCCTGGTCAAATATCCAATTGCAGAATTCTTTAAATAGGTACATCAACCCCAAGCTTTCCTAGTGGGTCTGTATACATGATTGATCTGTATTGAGTTGAACAAGTATAAAAACAATAAAACTATGTTAATTTAGATTAAAAGCATTGGTAAATTTAGATAAAATGGAACGTAACAATTTTGTGTGGGTGTGTGCAAGGGCATTGTGCCCATTTATTTGCCTTTTTCCTATGGCTTCTGTAAAAACATAAAAATTAATTACTTCAACTATTCTGTATATTTGTATGTCAACTGAAGAAGGCTGTTAGCTGAAAAATTTCAAATAAATAAATTTTCTGTCTTTGTCTTCAGTACACAAAATGTATAGCCTTTTTAGCTACTTTTTAAGTTGAATCACAGTCCAAACCTTGATAAAGCCTTGTATCAATGAAAAAAAAAAACTTCAGAATTAGGCTACAAGTTTCATCACACAAAATAATTAAAATAAATAAATTATTTTCTTCTTCAGGAATTTCCCTAACTTTTATTATTACAAAGAATTCACATTGATTAAGACTAACTTGACCGTGGGTATCATCTTTGTGGATACAGTCACACTATGTGGAAACACTGATGACGACTCCCAAGTAAAGTTGAAAGGACCTCCCGATCCATTTATTGCACAAGAGCAGTGGGATTTTATAGAGCAAACTTTAAACAGCAGCCGGTAATTAGATGATAATAATGTTCAGATAAATTCATTAAATATCTTTTAGAAGTCTATTAAAGAAAATTGTATGTAAAAATGTAACATTTGAGAATAGTAATTAGTTATCAGTAATAAGGGGGAGAGACTGCAATCAGTTGGGTGAAAGGAAATGAGTGGAACAAAGGACGTAACATGTCCACAAGTAGCCTTTTTCAGCAAACAAACAACAATTTAAAAAATGTAATTTTTTTTTTTAATTACAAAAACACTTAGTGTAAATGTAGATTGGAGAGGATAATTAGTTATCAATATTAAGACACAGTTATATTCTAATTCTAAATATACAATTACTGAAATATCATGGCTGGAATTAATCATGCTTTTTTATGATGGTACATTATCATAATTTTTTTTTCATATTTATATAACATAACTGACATGACAAATATTTTGTGCCATGGACATATTTGAAAAGGACATTTTAATATCATCATAGACGTGTATATTACCAAATTTTCACTTCCAGGGCTAGTTACTTGTTTGTTGCTGGCCATTATCCAATTTACTCCACATCCTATCACGGATCAACAAAATTTTTGGTAGACAGACTCCAGCCTCTGCTGGACAAATACAAAGCCAATGGGTACCTTGCAGGTCATGAGCACAACTTTGAGGTAACGCATTATTCAATTAGTTGATGACAATTCACTGCAATGACACATTCAAATGATAATTATTTAATAATAATAATAATAATTAGTGGTCTTTTATAGTGCTGTACCCCAGCCTAGGGCTGAGCTCACCGCGCTGTACATAAAAATATTATCAAAAGAGACATAATCTTGACATTAACATAAATTACAATTATGAAATAAAGAACAGCATGAACCCCAGGACTTTGAAAAGGCAAACCATGGACGGCAGCCAACAAGATCATTTAAAGGCAAGATAGGACGAGCTATTTAAATAATTGTCTTGCCTTTACAATGAACATCCCCCCCCCCTTTTAAAAATAAATGAAAAATTGATAACTTCATACATTCAAAGATTTAAAATAAACACACATTTGTGAATTTGAGAAGCCTTGGTCTCATTGCCTAGGTTATATTTAGATCAGAAATATTCAGACCAGTTACCGATGAATATTATCTCCCCCTCCCCTCAATATCCCAATGGGACAATACATTGACATCATGCTATTTTGGTCAGCTTTTTACCCCCTCCACCCATGGTCGCTAGTTTGTGACACAAATAAAACAGTCATATCGCACATCATGAACACACCACCACCCCCCCCCCCCCACCCCCCCCACCGTGAGATTTTGTTTATAAATAGCCCTTGTCATGTAGTGGGTCTTGACGTAGACAGTAAAACATGTTTCTTGGTTTACACTTCAAATTGATTTGACGGACACGATGTAAAATTACAATATCCCAGATTTCAATGTGTCTTTCGGTGTGACACCACTAAATAATTGTCACATTATAATGATCCCCCATGTCCCAAGCAATTATAGTGTTACATTTTTTTTCACATCTTCAGTACCTTCGTGTTAAAGCAACAAGAGGGGACAACATTGATTACTTCATATCTGGCATGGGAAGCACAGTGGGGCCTTGTCTGAATCACTCTAGTCAGGTACCCCCAGGAGCCTCGCTATTCCGTTACTGTGACATTCGATGTAAAGGTGGGTTTTTATACGCTGAGGCAACTTCTGCCAACATGACCTTCACCTTCATCACCGGCAAAGGGGACCAACTCTATACTGCCACAGTATTTCCAAGACATAATTAAATTACAGATCCCTTAATGTGCCATACCCATTTAACTAAAATACATTCAAAATGCCTTCAGTTGAAATGGAGTTGTCTGGTCTGATTGTGAACACTTGTGAATGACCTATGCTTCACTGGGATTTAAAAAAGGCAAAGAAGAAGAACTGTGATTATGGTCACTCCTTGATATTAAACAATTTGTATCAAGGATATGACGCATTAAATATATCGGCATCCTTCCGTCTCGTGAGACGATGGTGCATCACCGTTGGGTTGGGTTGCATTTTCTCGAGTGGCTGTGCAGTCCTATCCTTGAGTGACAGTCTTTACCACAGTTTTTACACACGAGTTCTGTGCTTCCAAATGTTTTGGCCTTTCTCCTAGCTCTTCTTTCTGCAGCCTCTTCCATTCTTCGCTCCTCGGCTACCATGACGCCCTCTTTGACAACTGTGCGCCACGTAGATCGGTCTTTTGCCTTACACTCCCAGTCACTTGTATGTATTTTGGCTGCTTTCAATTCCCTTTGACAGACATCTTTAAATCGCAGACGTGGGCGATCTGTTTTCCTCTTTCCAGAAGCAAGTTCACCATATAGGAGGTCTTTCGGAATGCGGCCGGGACTCATTCTTTTAACATGACCTAGCCATCTCAGGCGTCTTTCACTAAGGATTGTGAACATGCTTTGGGTATTCGCACGCATTAGGACCTCACTATTAGTCACTTTTTCTTGCCATTTAATACCAAGGATGCGACGCAGGCATCTCATATGGAAGCTATTAAGCTTGCGCTCTTGGGATGTATAGGTGGTCCATGTCTCGCTCCCGTATAGTAGTGTACTGATGACACAAGCTCGATAGACGCACAGTTTGGTTTTCTCCGTTAGCTTGGTGTTTTGCCAGACCCGTTTATTTAGTTTAGCCATTGTGGCAGCTGCCTTGCCGATTCTGCTGTTAATTTCTTCTTCAATGGACAGTGTATTGGAGACCTTGGACCCCAAGTAGGTGAAGCTGTCCACAACCTCCAAGTTTTCATTATCGATTTTTATGTTAGGTGGAGGTCGAGTGTCTTGGGCCATGATGTTTGTCTTTTTCAAGCTGATTTGCAGACCAAATTCTTTGCAGGCATTGGAGAAGCTTGACACGAGTTGTTGCAAACCAATTTCTGTGTGTGCTGTTAGTGCCGCATCATCCGCAAATAGTAGCTCGCGAATTAGGACATCTGTCGTTTTGGTCTTGGCTCGGAGGCGGGCAGTGTTGAAAAGTCCTCCATCAGCTCTGGTGTGTAACCAGATTCCCTCACTGCTATCCTTGAATGCGTATCGAAGTAGTACAGAGAAGAATATTGCGAACAGTGTTGGTGCGAGTACACAACCTTGTTTAACTCCGCTGCTGACTGGAAAGGCTTCTGACTTGGCTCCATCGAACTGCACTGTACCCTGCATATTTTCATGGAACTCTCTGATGATGGCAAGTAGGTGAGGGGGACAGCCGATTTTTGCCAGTATTTTGAATAGCCCGTTGCGACTGACGTAATCAAAGGCTTTTGTAAGGTCCACAAAGGCAATGTACAGTGGCATCTGCTGCTCTCTGCATTTTTCCTGGAGCTGTCGTATGGAGAACACCATGTCTATGGTAGACCGGCCAGACCGGAAACCGCACTGAGATTCTGGATAGACACGGGATGCTAGACTCTGTAAACGTGTTAGTATGACACGGGCAAAGGCCTTTCCTACAATACTAAGGAGTGAAATGCCGCGATAATTATTGCAATCACTCCTATCACCTTTGTTTTTATATAGTGTCACTATATTTGCATCCTTTAGGTCTTGGGGGATGTAGCCCTGTTCCCAGCAGAGGGACAGAATCTCGTGCAATGGTTGGAGTAAAGCTATCTTACCACTCTTTAGAGCCACTGGTGGTATTCCATCATCCCCAGGCGCTTTTCCACAAGCTAGACTATCAATAGCTTTGCTCAGCTCTTCCTGTGAGGGCACGACATCAAGTTCTTCCATGAGTGGCATATCTGGTATGTCATCTAGAGCGGTGCTGGAGACTGTGGTAACTGTTGAATACAATTCCAGATAATGCTCAACCCACCGTTTTAGCTGTGCTGCCCGGTCTTGGATAATTTCTCCATTTTTGGACTTTAGAGGAGCAACTTTGGACGTCAAGGGGCCAGTTGCCTTTTTGATGTTTTCGTACATTGCTTTTGCATCGCCCATATCTGCAGCTGACTGTATGCTGGAACAGAGGTTAAGCCAGTAGGTATTGGCGCAATTACGTGCAACCTTTTGGGCAAGTGACTTGGCTGTTTTTAAGGCATGCAACCTGTCGGGTGTAGGCTTTTCCTTGTAAGCCGTAAGAGCTTTCCTTTTGGCTTCAGTGACAGGTTTCATCTCGTCCCAATGTTCATCAAACCAGTCCGTGTTTTTGTGAGATTTTTTGCCCAAGGCCTGTATTGCGGATGTATAGATTGTGTCTCTGAGATGCGTCCATTTCGAGTCAATGGTGACGCATGGGGACATCCTTGAGATACCTTCCTTCACCTTGTCTGTGAATAGCTGCGTTAGCGCAGGGTCTTTCATGCAGAAGGTATTGATACGTGGACATCCCTTTTTCTTGGTGTGGTACGAGTTTTTCCTCATTATTCGTACCTTGCTGGCGACAAGGGAATGATCCGTGTCACAGTCGGCACTGTGAGTGAGTAGGATGCTAGCTAGTTGTGCACGCCTGGTGATGATGAGGTCCTTTGATCGAGGGTGTCTCCAAGATACTTGATGTATATCCTTGCACTTGAAGCCTCGTGAGCAGCACAATTCCAGAAGCCTCTGTCCATTTTCATTAATCTTTCCTCTTCCAAAGAGTCCAAGGCATGTGGGCCAGGCTTCGTGGTCGCTCCCCACTCTAGCATTGAAATCTCCCAGGAGATTGAACAGAGAGTTGGGGCATATACACTAAGAATGTTTGCTGGGCCCGCAGCTGTTCTGAGTCTTAGAGTGAGGATCCTCTCCGTGCCTGATGACGGGGGATCAATGAATGGTGTAAGAGTGTTCTTAACAGCGAAACCTACACCATGCTGTCTAGGTTCGTTTGTTGGTCTGCCTTGCCAGAAGAAAGTGTAATTTGCCTCTTTGAGTGAACCGTTGTCTGGGAGCCTGGTCTCCTGAAGGCAAGCGATGTCAATCTTTAGCCTTTTAAGTTCTCTATCGATTATTCCTGTCTTCCGTGTGTCGTTTATTGACTGCGGGTCATCAGTGATGCCGGGACACATAGTCCTCACGTTCCAGCTAGCGATTCGAAGAGCTGGGGTCTTCTTTTTCTTGGTGTTTCTTGGTGCAGGGCTTAGTGGCCCACTTGTTGAGTGGTACTCTAATCTCAAGGCAGGCCATGACGGGATAGCACCTATTTGACTGGGGGCTGCCCAGTTTGAGGCGGGCGGTAGTCTCTCCCACCGTCAATTGAGCTTTGGCTTATAACCGTGTTTTGTCGACACCTTTCTCCGCAGGAAAGCGGAGGATTTTTGAAGTCGGAGTTTCCTTCTCCTAGCCGTGGGGGTGCCGGAACAGGGATTCGAACCCGTGACTGATTGGAATTTATTTTGAAGTCTTGGTACCGCAGCGCAGAGCACTATCACTTTGACCACGCATTAAATTTTTTGTAAAATGCGTTTTGTTATAAATAGTAATGAAGGCTTTGATTGAACGCTGAACATCAAAGATTTGGGGCTTGGTTTTAGTGATGTCCTCATCTTTTCATCAGTATGGTGCTTCCTTGCCTTCCAGATATACATTGTTGGTTCACACATTAGAGCAGAATGTATGACTGTTCAAGTTTCTAATGTAATTTGTGAAACCAAATTAATGCAAATAATTTCCCTTTTTTTTAATTACTGTAATTAATTGCTTCTCACACTAAAGAAATGTCTAACTTCATAACTGAGAGACTTTGTGACACATTGTCAAAGAAATAAAAATGTTTGTGAATTCATGATGGACTGTAATTATCTCAACTGAAATTAATTAATTGCTTAGGTATAAGTTTCTTTATCTAAATGAAGTTCTCCCATCTCATTTTTTAGAAAAAAAGTTATTAAATATTCACTATATTTGAGTGATTAAATCAATAATAGATGATTGACTGACTATATCCTAAACTGATGCTTGAATGACTAAATCATAATTTGTTGGTTGACTGATTTAACCATATATTGAATTTTGACTGACTTAGACCAGTAAATGTAGAACGTCAGTTATTTGATGATACCAACATGCAGTCCACAAGTTTATGGCTCAAAGAACCTCCCTAAAAAAATGAAGTTGAAAATAAATTTACTCACCATACATTTCTGCCCTTGCAATAGGCGACTTGTAGTTTATGAGTAATTTGTTTGCTTTAACCCTGTTTGTAGAATGTATAATTTATGTCTGTTTGCAAGGGAAATGCACACTTCAGATCTGTTAGTAATAATAAAGCTGGATCAGTTAAGAGTATCAAGGGTAAACTCTAGCTTGAAATGATCCCCACAAAATAATTTAAAGTATCGGTTCTGGCCATCTGACTTAAAAATATTGAACCCTTGAATCATCCATGTTATATGAATACTAATGCCGTCTAATGCATGCGATTGATGAAATAGTGGAATCTTTTGATCACCACTCAACTTTGTTTTCTGAAATCAGTTGTGCTCAATTTTAGATTTCATGTTTGCTGATTTAAAAAAAAAAATTTTTCATGTTTGCTGATGTTTTTTTTGTGTGTTTTTTTTCCCCCAGGTTTTGAATGTTTATTAAATGGTTGGGGGGGGGGGGGGGCTGGGAAACTTTTTCATTATGCTCTTAGACATTAGAAACANTACAAGCCAAAGAGTGAACGATAGTGTTCAATCAAGAATCCATGCCATAGTAAAATTTGATTATTTCAATTACTTCTACAATGTGTTCAAAATATAATGCATCTGTAAAAAAATCCAGCCTAATTTTCATCAATTAGAAAAAAATATTTGTGGATTGAAACACACAGGTAACTAAAATATTAAAAGTATAGGCCTACGTTGTAGGATTATAAATGAACAATTCCTTTAAAAGTTCGTTTTTTTTTTTTTTAAATCGTTATAATGTAAATTTACAAGAAAAAAAAATGCTTATTGTTTTC